GATGTTATTATGATATTTATACTGATACGTGACTTAAATGATTAATTAATCATCAAAAAAGCTGCCGATTAGTTTTTCTCCCGCTGACAAATCTCTTCAGGACTAAAAACTGAAAAACCAGAAGTCACAACATCACTGTAACAAAAGCAGTATAATGAGCAGCGAGTAACATGTTAGCCTCCGACTCCAGACCAGACTGACGGAGAAACCAGCCGGCTGCACCGACATGATAGATGTACAATTGTAAAGTGAGACGAGGTGTGGAATGTGATCCAACCTGAGAGGAAAAAAAAAAGAAAAAAGGAAAAAAGAAAAGAACATATCTTCGAGGGAACTATCTGTTTTCCCAGAAAGCCTCTGTGTCGCAGTAAATCTACCCAACACTTCAGCAGTAACTTCAGACATATGGTCAAACATGTTTGTGTGTGCGCGCTGCAACACACATGATCACGCAGCGATTCATTTCCCCCAAAATAAAAGGTGCCAGCAGCGCACAATGACCTGGAAACACAAGCCAGGATATACAGTAGCAGGCAATCTACTCAGGGACTTTCTATTCTTAGTCTGCAGTGTTTGAGGCACCTGACAAACCTGCTGAAGTCACTGTTATCACGAATAAGATGATTTACACACTGTCTGCACCTCGTCCCTGCGTCTGTTATCATCTACAGCACCGCAGGAGTGTTATCACAGCATTATCTCAACACTGACGTCCTTTATTCAGACATCACACGTTAAAGTTATATCCATGACACGGAGTCAGATGATTGTTTATGTTTTTCTGTGACAAAAATGTCTCATTTTCAAAAAGAGGTTCAGGTTTGAATGCTCCGAAGTCCACGACGGCTCAATATGAGAATTTTTAACAGCCGTAATTTAATGTGACATCAATCTGATGTCTTCAGACCAAATGCACTGAGACAAAGGGAGCAGGGATTTAAGATGGACATGATTTTTTTGAGTCCTCGCTCTAATTATAAGAGCTTGAATGCTAATTCTTAAAACCTAATGTGTCAAACCTTCACTTTTCTCTTGCCTATCCTGCAGGGGGATCAGAGGTCGACAGAACAGCAGCCCTGGAGCTGAGAGAGGCTCAGTGACTTTGCCGAGGACACTTCAGCAGGTAGGATGCTTCCTGAACACGAAGGTCCTCCAGGTGAGGAGCAGCCCCTCCCCACTGTCCCCAATTTCCCAACATAATGACTTTTAAAAACCTGCATAAAACACCCCCCACTCCACTCACTGCGTAGCAGCAGGCGTCCGAACAGGTTGTGGTCCCTGGCCGTGGTGTTGCAGTTCCAGCGGTGGCTGCGGAACTGATGCTGGCACTCTGAGATCCAGTCCTTCATCCCGGCCCCGATGGCCTGCATCACTCTGGGGTGCTGGCGGCACAGCTGGCGCTGCTTGTTCACCAGACCAGGGATGTTGTCGCACATCACCTGGGAGCCCAGGGTGCCCATGTACCTGCGGGGAAGAGGAGAAGACGAGAGGAAGCTGAACACATTTACAACAAAAACAACTAATATTTACAAGGGAGGAAATAATACAAGACTGGTGCAGAATTTGATCACTGATCACTTTCTCAATGAAACTATTCTGACAACCAAAGTGTAAATAACTAAGCATGCCTGCACTTCCAGGTGGCTGCAGTATAAAGAAGAAACACTCAACCTTTGTAGGGTAATTGGACGCTTAAATTCTACAAACAGAGAAAACGATGAAGTAACGAGGCAGAAAAACTTGAAATCTCTCCCAACAAGTCCACACTCCCCGTGTACCTGCGGAACAAGGTGGTGAAAGACCGGGAGGGAATTTGAACTCTTGCAGGCTGCAGGGATTCTCTTAAACAATTAGAGAGAGAGAGAGAGAGACCAGAACAGCAAGAAAGAAAAAGAAAGGAGCTGAGTAAAATTATTATTGTTTAAACAGCATCTCAGTATCACAGGCAGTGTGAAGTTTGGAATTTGGAAACAGAACCTTTGCAAATATGCAATAAAGATTCAAGAGAAAGACAGCAAATAAGGAGAAATTAAATTATATCAAATGACTTTATCCTGGAAACGTATCTGTCCAAATGTTCAGTCTTCAACAAGCTGCAAAAATACAGGTAGGAAAGCTGAGGAGGGAATTTAGTCACTGAATCTCTGGGAAATTTCTCATTAACCAAAGGAAAACGGAAACTCCTTTACAGGTATTTTTATACATGAAGGGGGAAAAGAATTACTACAAATTTATTTCACACCAATTACATTTTACTATAAGATTATTTTTCTGCCGAGATGAATTAAAACGTGTCTAGTTAAACCAAGAAAGCTTTATATTCATCGCACAGGCTTTTTCTGCATCTGCATTTAAATGTAAATATTAAAAAGTGCTGTACTTACCACCAGGACGCATCGACCTCGGCCGTCAGCCAGCAGATTGCTACAGATAAATAAAAACATATTCCACTTGGCAATAAGTTCATATTAACCAATCTTTGGTCCTTTATGGATCTGGACGGAGCATTTCCACGGATGAGAGAAAAATATGAAAACACAAGAGAAGAAGTCAGAACTTGTACAAATCTGCAGATCAAACTTGGATTAAAAATGGATCAGAGGAGAATTGGTGGACGGAAGTTTTGCGCGTAAAAGCCATGGCCGGCTCAGACTCTGCTGCGCGGTGGCAAAGTGCTTATGAGGAGGGGGAGAGAAAAAAAAAAAAAAGTGAAGAGCGACTGTCTGATAGTCCAGCAGAGATCCTCAGTGGAGATAGGCAGATGATGTGCTATCAGGTTTAAATTGCTTTACACAAGGGGTGGGCAGAGTCCCGTCTCAGGAATGAGGTGAAGAAATGAGATGTCTGAGAGTATCTGTTCAGGCTGGTTTGACACCAGACAGACTTGGCCCGCGTCCAGACCTGGAGCTCCGGGGCTTTGAGATGTGGTCCAGGGCTGATGGGGCTCCGCGCTCAAACTGCACCGACGCGTTCAGGGAAGGGAGGATTCGTCCCGCGCCCTCAGCCAATGACAGTCACCAGGGAAATGAGCGCAAACCCGCTTAGATTCAAAATCAAAGAGGGGGGGCAAAAAACGAGCAGACAATCACGTTTATGTCCCGAAAGTTGACTTCAAAGTTGAATTCTTTTAGATTTTCAGAAAAATGTCTCTTTTCACGGGATCAAGACGCAGAGACGGCGATTTATTCAATAACATAATGGATATAATAAAACACCACAGAATGATCAGCCTGCGGTTCCCAAATTAATTTCCTTAATTTCCCATATAGCCTATTGGTTAGCTTTTCTGATCAAAGTCCGTATGAACTTAAAAGGTAAGCCATACGCAAGTGACGCACAGGTGCCAAATATTTCTGATCCCCAAAGGATGACGCATTGTTATTTTACAGGCTTATACAAACCATCACTCAGTCATACTAATAACTCAGGAATGATGGTCCCAAAAAAAAAAACTGCACCGATTCTCCCAAAGCAGCACCTAAAGGTGATGTGTCCATTTCCATTGGATTATCTATCACAGTCTTTTTGAAGTCTCTCGGGGAAATCTGTACCGCTGTCACACGGCATTTCCTCCATCTTTGATCTAGCCCGGGTGTATCTGGAGGTCCGGAGACCCTGACCAGATGAGATTAATGGCCAAATTGGATTTTTTTTTTTTTTTTTCCCCCATGATCCCCGTGGAAGAAAAACCATAAAACAACAAGGAGATTTAGAGCGCCCTTCGCGGCTCTTCTCAGCCCATCGAACACGACTTTTTGTTTTTTCGCTGCTGCGGTAGTTGTAATACTCCTGTAATATAAATCCAGTTTAATTGGAGTAATTTCACTGCCTTTACCAAATCGCATTAAGGGTTGGTCACTGTATTTGCACTGCAGTGTTGTAAGAAGAGGAAGTGGGCTAAGCCGAGTCGGGGGTCACGGCCTCAGGATAGTGACTTTAATTTACCTGGAATTAAGTTTGAAGTGCAGCAAGTCATCTGAGCTAAATTCACTCAAACAGCTGAGCCGATCATCCACAAACAATCAGGAGCTTCAGGAATAATAAAAAGGTGAACTCGGCTGATGTGATCTCTTCAGAAGGTCACGGTGGTTTTCAGAAGTGAAAAGGTTTTCTGAAATGCTACCACCACTTACTTTCTGAATCTTTAGAGCCTCTTTACTCTTTGTGTCACTGTTAGAAAAGGCAGCGTCAGTTTGGGGCCACACTGTCTGACTTTATCTATTTAAAAGCCTGAATCCAGGAGTGTAAAAAGTGCACCTATGAGATGTTAAATCTCACCATCTGAAGCTCACTAATTGACATGTTGTATCTTGTTTGATTAACAGGCACCAAAAAGTGAAATTTACTGATGGTTGATTGCTCAATATCAACACCATACTGCTTCTGCATAACTTCCTCTAATATGACAAATTGTTGTTTTTACTTTACCACAGATTAAACACACTGGACTCAATGTGTTAATAACGAGCTTTAGAGGCGTTGGTAGGTATTTTTTCCCCCTTTCTTTTTAACTGTGGAAGGAGCCAGGCTGTTTCCATCTGCCTCCAGGCTAAGATTAATCAATCGCCTCCTGGTTCCAGCTCTATATTCAACGCACAGGCTTGACGATGAGATGAGATTCGTATTGATCGCCTCATCTCTCAAGGAAAAGTTAATCATGTTTCGCACAAATGTTGATCCCTAACTTCAAGGTATGAAAATTATAATTTCTTCTTTAAAAAAAAATGATTCATTTTTAAGGAGTTGCATTTTGAAGTCAAATTCTCTCCTTTTAGTTTGACTGTACAAGAAAATGCTCCTCAAAACAAACCTTTAATTTCCACTTAAACCCTTAAAACATAAATTAACTTAAAAAAAAAGAATTAAGAACTAAACTCGGAGACAAGTCAGAGCAAACTGGGAAACAAAACGCTGCAGCAAAAATAAAAAATTAACTGTCTTGTCGAACACTGTCCTAAAACATATCAACCATTTTATAATCATAATCATAATCTAATTTCTCACCTACAGTCATCAAAACACAAAATATTACGATGAGCGCATTAACTGATGGTGATTAGCAAACATTCCTGTACGTATGCAGGTAAACCTTCCCGCAAGCAGCTTTGTAGAGGAGCAAGAGGAACGTGGCTCCAAGCGCCACTCCGGTCAGGTACCGCATCTTCCGGTTGCCGTGGGAACCAGGTCTGGGAAGCTGACAGCGATCTCCGGCTTCGTCCATCTGAGGGAGGAAGACGAAGAAAAGATTCACGTGGGAAACGCGCACAAAAACATGGATGTGGAAACACACACCAAACGCTGCGGTCGGAGCAACGTGACCTCGCGCAGGAAGTAGAAGGGTTGCAGGTCATTTTTATCTAATCCAGTCCGGATTATGGCACCGTACTGATCAAACAGTTCAAGGCCAGTTAAAGCTTGACTGGGTGGGAAACATCGGCTCAGTTACTGTTGGATGGGAATCAAACGGAGACCAGCTCATTTTTGAGGGTGAGGGCATGTCTGGTCCCATCGTACCACCACAGCATGACTCGCAAACCTGAGTCACCAAAACTTCCTGTGCCAAATCCTCAAGGATTCATCAGCCGAGTGGAGAGCCGGGTCTTGGTCACGGTCAAGTCACAGAGGAATAAATCTGTTCCTGAACTCCCCAGTCAGAGAGTGACACAGTGTCACACTGGATTCCTGTCATGTGAGAGAGTTGGATGATACAAAGAGTTCAAGCTCTTCTAGCAAAATGTGGCTCGGGAACTTGCGGTTTGGCAGTAAACCCACATTTCTACCAACTTCCTGGATTCTGACATCACTTATGAGGAAATGTTTTTAGTAAATACCGGGAAGGCATTATTCCCGCAGGACATAAATGCAACATTAATATAGAGTTGTGAAAAGGGAGGGGATGCTGATGCTAGTTCCAGAAATGTTTTTTCCTCATTCTGTATCCATGTCTCAAATTTTTTTCCCCTCTCACGGATGATGTCGCAATCCTTTCGAGTGAATGTTATAGTCAACAGTTTTATTTTAATTATTTCCATTTTGTCACTTTGGTATGGCAGACATCTTAAAAAATACTACAATACCCATGAGCCTGGCTGCTACTGGAGAGGAAGCCGGCCAGAGTGGTAAGCACCATAGCTCCTGAATTCATCTAAAACTGACTCGGAATTTAAAACTGAATCTGAATCTGTGATCGGATGTTTCTTGCAAAAAAAATTGCACCTTGGGATTTGTAGTTAACGTCTTGCCTTGTAGTTTTATGCACGTGAGCTCGTACCTTCAACTTTTTAACAAAGAACCAGATAAATACACGTCAAATAATTTGTTCCCAAAGATTGTTTCTGTCATTTTAGGTCGTTCTTATCTCGCTGATTTATGTTCAAGTGATAAATTTGGTTTTCATTTGTTAATTGATGCTATGAAATGGGATTGTGACGTCATGTGATGCAACATGCACAACAAAATAAGAGGCTGGTGTCACTGCTGGAAAAGTTGATCCAACTGATTGGCTGACACCATGCAGGACCAGAAATAATGCATTGCCTCACTGTAAACTCACAAGACAAATTTAAGTAGAAGAGCAACATTTGAAGTGTCCTAACCCAATTAATGACCATAGTATTCTTAGATATTGCTGATGTGGTTGTTGATCAATAACTTTGAAACAATTATCATTTTATCAGGTAATGACAGCTCTGGAATTCACAACAAATTTTCCATCCTGTGTTCTGTCCTTGGATGAACGACCTCCCACCCACTGGACCACTCCGTCTTAACTTCAACAGCTCAACTACAGAAGACGAAGACGACGCTTCATATCTCAGGCACCAGCATACGTAAGTCACATTTTCAAAGCAGATGACGTGAATGAAAAACCAGCATCATCAGGTGTTTACGGGCAATTGAGCTCTGTGGTTCATTAGTTTGCGATCGGGGCTTTTCGCAAAGAATAGCGCTTTTGGGGAATTACAGCATGCACTGTTGCACTGACTGACATTAGAGCCTTGAGAGTCCTGCATGAGGGAAACCAGTGTGTGTTCACACCTGACAGGTCGGTCACAGTCAAACTGCCGACAGCCAATTGGAAGCTGAAGCTCTGTACATTCACATTCCAGGAAGTAGATCAGGGGTTTTCAAACTATATCGACCAAGTTTTCACATGAAATTTTTTTATTCGGTTCAATGACTCTACCTTACTGTTACCGAAGAACGTTTTTAAAGCTTCACAACAACTTGAAAAACACCTCATACAATCAAATTCTAGACACCTCTCAAAACTAATTACAGAAAAGAAGATTGCACCTGACAACAATTTAGAGTGCCACATTAAATACTTTCGTAAATGAGATGTAAATTCAGCTTTTGATTTTAAATAAATTTGTCATAAATTTCTGAAAACATGTTTTCACCTTGTTACTATGGGTTACAGAGTGTAGACTGTTTGGCCAACATAGCAAACAGTAGCGATTTATTTAATTTAAATCTAAATCTACAACACATTAAAGTGTGTAAAAAAGTGAGTACAGTTTGCAACCATAACCACTGAGAAAATGTACAGTTTATAACCACTGTAAGCTGGAGGCTGGTTGGTGTCACTGTTTCTGTCAGTTACAGACAGATGTTGATAAAAAGTTAATTTTAATAACTTTATAACTGTCTAAATGTTGCTCTTCTTTCTCTTCTGGTTTTCCTACAACTTTAACAGGAATCGCAAAGTTTTCAAACTTAACACCAGTCGGTTTAGATGTTGGTCTTAGCTAATTTAAGTTTTGCTAATGCTACATAGCCAACATTAGCACTGACAGCTGTTTACTTACCAGTCTTGCCAAAAAGCTTCAGCCATTGATGCATTTACAAGACAATACGTCCTCTGAGCAGCGCTACTTCTTCAGGGCAGACTGGAAACTACAGTGACTCGGTATCAGAAAGTGACAAGACAGTCAGCCGGACCAGGGCTAGCTGATTAGGGTTGGGGTTAGCATGCTCAGAAGAAGAAGAAAAGAAGTGGTAGAAATGTTCGGTGTTGTTTTGGTCTACTGCTGGAGACAGCTGAGGGCAAGTAGTGGAATTAAGTTTGATACTGAACTTGTAATGTTTCTTCTAGACTGGTAAATAAACAGCTGTTAATGCTAACGTTAGCTATGCAGCCATGGCAAAACTTACAAATGGCTCCTTAGTTACTGCAAGAAAAGACCTGATTTTGTTTTCAAAGCAGTGCCAAAAAGTGTGTGTCACAGTTTACGTAGTAATGTGTGTTTCAAAGGACGAGCTCCCACAGATAAGATTAGATTTTGTGTTTTGTTTATATGTGTATGTGTGATGGGCCCCTCCCATCGGGGCTGTGAGCCAGTGGGTCCAAATGGACTCCATTGGTTGTCAGATTCCTGTCTGACACAACTGAGGACCTCCTCACCACCGCTATCGAAACACACGCACCTCTATCTCCTATTAACCCACCTCCTTTCCTCACCTCATACCCCCACCTCTACCCATCAGCCCTTTCTCCCCCCTTAAACTCCCTCACCCCGCCAACCTGTGTCCTCTCCCCGCTTTCCTTCTGCCCCCACCCTCGCCTTCCCATCAGTCCCTTCATCCCTCCGCCTCATCGTCTGTGTGCTGACAGGTCGATGTCACAGCGGTGCTGACTTATGGGCTGTGAGGATTCTGCCCTGTCAGGAACGACTCTCTCCTCTTGAAATACAAATGCAAACACACACACACACACACACACACAGAGTCAGGTGCACACATACAAGCACCCCCACACATACCTGTTGGAGCTCGTCAGAATTCATATACGCCGACATCGAACACACACCATGTTCTGGTCATGTTGCTTTTAATCTTCAGTAGTAAGAGGAAAGCTCTCAGTGGAACAGTCACCATTGTGAGGAAATGTGTTCGAGTCTGAACGATATCATCTAACAGCTGATTATCAGCTTATGACAAATATATCAGTGTCACAGATGCAAAATTAAATCAGTAAACATAACGTTTATTTTTTCACATTTACTTTCTATTTTAAAATTTCTTTTGTATTTTTAGTTGTAATTATTATTTATATCTACGTTCCTTCAACACTTACTGTTGAATTACTGATAATAAACATTAATGTTCAGATGTAACATTTTTAACCACGTGAGGCCAGAAATGAACTTAAAGTCTTTCTGCATGCGAGGTCTGCAGTAGAGGCTGTGGTATTTTGCCTGGTGAGTTGTTTAAAAAGTCTGACGTTTAATCTAATGAATCACTGCAAAGCTGGAAAAAATATAAATATGTTAAGTGTGCAATGGTAGTGGGCCTATATTTCATATAGCGTGTTTGTAATTTGTGCTTTTTTCCGATCATTTTGGCAATTTACAAAAGTAGCAAAAGTTTGAACCCAATAATATGTGTGTGTGTGTGTGTGTGTGTGTGTGTGTGTGTGTGTGTGTGTGTGTGTGTGTGTGTTGACCTGGCATATCAGATTGCGAAGGCAGGCAACTTCCTTCTGCAGATCTTTAGTCTGGATCACCAGCTGGTTGCAGACGACCTGGGCCTCCTTCTTCGGGTCCAGGGAGAAGACCAGCTACATGGAGGACCAGACGGACAGACGAGTACAAGTTTACAAATCTACCTGGATGGCAGGTGAGATAGACAGAGCAAGCCAAAAAGACACAAGCAGACAGAAAGCCACCTGGCCTCAGTCCCGTGAGGTGACAGGAAGGGACGCTGAACATTGCGATTGACTATCTATCTAAACTATCTATAAGCTCGTTAACGGAAATATATATTTTCTATAAGATCAAGATGAAGCCTTATAGTTTAACACATCTACTAGCATGAACCAGCAACCCCTAATCAGCTGCACTTCTACAGATGACGTGTACCTGAGAGGCTTGGCGAGGAAAACGGTTGATGACATCATGAATTGTCTCTGTCAGGTAGCAGCACTGCTGTCGCACACCTATCAGGAAGTTATGCAGCTCCTCACTCCTGCAAAATATGATACGAGCAATTAATGGAGAAGGTCTGATTAAAACATTCAAAACAAATTAAAATAGATACACGGTATATTTATATCTAATAAATTCAAACCTACAATTTTCATTTATTGTGACGCACTGTGTGTTTTTTGTGATACTAATTGCTCAGCTGATTAACAAGAAATTAAATTAAAATCTTAAATTAATTAAATTAAGCATTTTGATAATTAGTTAAGGCATTTATCAAGAAAGAAATGCCCAACCTTTCCTGGTGAGGGTTTGCTGCATTTTATGTTTTATGTTATTCTAGGCTCAGTTTTTTCCTGACGTACCAAACAACTAATTAATTAATCGTATGAATAATCACCAGACTAATTAATCTATTATAATTGGCTGCAGCATTTTTTTAAAATCTAACCACAGATCAGTTATTAGAATTTTTCAAATTGTGATTACAAATCCAATCCAGTCTGTAAAATACACTGTAATTTGCGTAAGGGTGATGCATGATGAAAAGTCGCACATGCTCTGTTTAGACACGTGGATAATGCTGTAGTAGCCTTAAAGCTGAGGTCATGAGGTTTACCTTGTTAAAAAGCGAGCACTAAGGATATGCCCACATAAAAAAAAAAAAACACAAGGCAATGGCAGCTAAAAATGCCCGGCAATGACAGGGCAGACAGATTGATAGTTTGGACCAAACTTTGTTTTAACATTCTCCATGCATTTTCCTGCAGACCACCTCACCAAACTATAGAAAACTGAGCAGGTGGCCAAGCCTTCTCCCCCTGCTAACCCATGCTGTCATCCCTCCCTGAAAACATCCACCTTAAATAATTAGTTATTTATATTCATCAACCTTTCCGTCCCTCTCTTCCCATCCCCTGGTCCTGTGGGATATTGATAGCTCTTATCTTAATGGTACATTTCCCTTGGCGAGGGGACTGGGCAGCCAGCCGTCCCGGCCCTCCTCACACTCTGTCAGAGGGGCGAGTAAACACTGTCAGTCAGCCTGTGCTGCACCCTCACCTCCCTTCTCCCTGCTGTTAGTTTATCTAGGGAGCAGAGAGTGATGATGGGCCCCCGGTGGGAAGATTGTTGAAGAGATTGCAGATGGAAAGGACGTTATGTTATGTGGAAATGCTGATACAAGGTGCTTGTGTGCCACTTTGTTGTGAACTGAATGCGTTCAGGGAAAGTCAGTCAGGCTCTTTTCCAGCAGCGCGCAGCGAGTGCCTTGCTCGATGAGGACAGAGATACATATTTACTTTCACCGAGACAGTTTCAGACCAGCAATATTTCAGTCACACGTCACTTCTACAACTTCCTTTGGAGGTGGCAGTGAGTGTTAAGGTCGCTTGGCCAATCCAAGCTTATCTTTGCAGGATAACTACTTTAAGAGACAGGTGGATTAAAACTATGTTTACTGTTACAGTGTTCTCACAAAAAGGCAATATTTGTACCTAATGTACCCATGTGTGCCGAATAAATATGTTGAATGCATTTCCTTCCTCTTAAAACGTTTGGAACAATCTTCACTGTTTATATTGATGTTTGCTTCCCAGCAGCCTCCTTTCCTGCATTTGTTGGCACATTATCGCCACCGACTGTTGATCGGTGGAAGAGCGTGAAACCATTTGCAGGACTGAATCACAGCAACCGTGTGCAAATGCACCTGCATACACGTGCAAGGAAATAAGGATCCACTCTTAAAATCATTGCTTCGAAGTGATAGTAGTGGTCAAAAACGTTGCAGGGTCCCTTTAAGATATTTAGATTCAGAATTAAATGGCCAAAATGAAGGTTGACTGCATTCCATTTATTAATCCACCTGATTTCTGCCCATTACCAAGGGCAGAGTTGAGACTGTTCAGAAAAAGGGAAACCTATACTACACTTTTTTCTAAAATCAAAGCTCTGTGTTACTTGTACTTATTGCAGTTTTATCACGATTTTCCTTTGAGACCAACCAAAAGTCCCCAAACCCGTCCCACACCCAGATTTTTGCTTTTGTGGCCCCTAGTGGCTGAATTCCTTTTCGGCCTTCCATTAACTGTCTGTTGCCCGCTACAATAACCAAGGCCAGAAAGGCTGCGTCTTTAGCTTTCGCCTCACCCACAGGCTCTTGTGTTTCTGCCCTGATACACAATCTGGACAGATTTCCAACCAGCTGCCTCCACAACTGAGGGCTTGTACATGGACCACCCCTAGGATTCAATAAAAATGCAGTGGCTTCATTTTAGAGTCTGATCAGGCTCTACAGGTACAGGAACCACCATTAGGTGTTCTGCCATGAGGTGACAGAGACTGAATTGCCGCAAAGTGGCATTTAAACATCATAAGTTTTTATTCACAGGTCCCTGACATGTCAAAATGATTTCAAGACTAATTTCCATTTGTCTGTGTGATGTAAAGATCCTGAAGGAGCTCATAAGGAGGTCTGGCTTTCCATCCCTCTCGTTATTGGACTGCCTCTCATCCGGCAGGCGAGGGCGGGTGAAGCCAGCGGGCCCAGTTCTGCGGAGGATTCATGAAGTGATGGGGTGTGGTGCGATGGCTCTGTTTGGCCCACGCCGCAGGCTCTCCTTTGCTCATTGCAACCTCCCATCGCCTCTCACCTTACAAATCATTACAGCTCCGCTTAAACCATTAGGGCCTGGCTCAGGGCTTGGCTACAGAGATGGGGGAGGGGATACGGAGATAGGACAGTGAGATGCTCATAAGGCTGATGGACGACTTCCAGTGGAGGAGGACAGACGGAGCATTACGGCGAGATAGATGGAGGAGGGCTGGATGCGGGGAAGGGTTTAAGGTGTGTGGCTGACAAGTGTTTAAATTTTTGCTACTACCGTCAACTTTGTTTCTGGCTTTGTGGACAGCGTTTGTGGAATACTTTTTTGTAACTGACATCTTATCAGACGTTCCCAGCAGACTGAAACAAACTTAGATTTTTAAAACACTGGAAAGATTCTCAAACCCCACAACTTTTCTACCATAGAAACCACAATCTAAAATGATTTTTTATTCTGGAGTGTGAATAGAAAAGATAAAGTACAGAGTATGAGACCTCTGATCAGATTATCAGTCACTCTAATCTATTAATACAACCTTTCTGAAAAATAAAGTAATGCTCAGACTAACTCACAGTTTTCCCTGAGAGCCTTCTAGTGGGCCTTCGACCTGAATGATCTGTTGAGCACACACATGACTTGGCACAGGCCTGCTGGGCATTAAGGTGTGCACCCTACCCACTGGCTGCAGCTCCCAGTTGGCTGATGGTGTCCAGGTCCACTTTATCCAGGTGCATCTGTTGCACAGCACTCAGCAGCTTCTGCTGATGCTCCGGGTCTGTGATCCCAATCTGACAAATTAAAAAAACACCTTTTGTTGATCCAAATCTCTTCCGAAAAATAAAATATTCAAACTGTATGAGTATGTGATACATGTATTCTTCATCTATAATCATGCATTTTATGTTTCCGTCTGAAAAGATGCAACATGCTTTTGTAATAATGATCCAAATGTGGGTTAGGTAATGTAAACCAGGTGTACTTTTATTTACCTCTGACAGATTTGAGTTTTATAGAAATTTAAAGAAACATAGTTCAAGAGTGATCCTCAAATACACTGCTGACTCCGGTCACTTCATCAGTTTAACCTTCTCTTCTACTTAAACTTCTTTCTACAGAACTTGTTGCCCTAAAAAGCCGTGACGTCAGCAGCTACACTCGTCTCTGTCCGGGTCACCCCGAAGGCCGGCAGCGAGCAACGGAGCTGACAGACACACAGATGTTACAGTCATCCTCTACCTTCTCCAGGTCGTCCTTCTCCATGGTCAACAGGTAGTTCCAGGTGATGTCATTTTCCTGTGCAAGTGAAAGAAAACATCTCTCAGCATTCACCGAATCAAAACTTCTACAGCTGCTTCCGACCCCACTGCCTCAAACAGATTTGCCTGCATGAGGCTTTGCCGTACAATGACAACAACCTACCTGCACCCATCAAAAACCCCGTCCTCATATATCAGATAGGGACTAAAACCTGAGCTGACCCTCAGTTTAATTCAGGCCAAGCCAATCCAGCACACTGGATCCATTATTCAGCACTGCGTAAAATATGTAAACGAGTTATCTCATGACATGTTCCCAAGCCAGGAGGTGTCATTCTGTCAGTAATGCAGCTGCGTTCAACACATTTGGGATCACTGTATCTCACCCACAGATTTAATACCGCATTGAACTGTGTGTAACAGCATGGTATCTCTGCTCACTGCCTTGGCATCAGCGAGATAAGACAACAGAAGTCTCTCTCACATTAGAACAAGGCACCGTGCCTACAAAAATATACACATTTGAGTAAAAAAAAACTATACTGAAATGCTATTCTAGCATGCAGTCAGTACTTACAGTCATGATGTCAGTGAGGTAGCTGAGCTCGAGGCCGTGCAGGAGGAGCTCCAGGTCGTCAAGCTTGGTTGCACTGAGGAGGGCAGAGAGTTCACATTAAGTCCTGCAGCATTAACCCAAGTATGAACCGGCTGGAACTAAAATTGCGCTAAAGCTGTTTGAACAGAAACGTCCTGAGTAGTGCATCAGTAACACACTGAAAAGTGAGCTCGTCCTCAAAGCGCGAAGCTCGGTTTAAGACCTCACTAGCAGCTAATATCTACTCTACTGAAGTGTCCTTGAGCAACGAACTACATCCCTTACAGCTCCAGTATTCCTGACCTGAAACTCTGACATCCCTGTAGAGGACGTTGGGCAGAACGAAAGACATCGGGGATCAAGTGAGTGCAACAAAAGTGTCACTGAGTTCAGACACATCAGAGTAACCGCAGTGTACATGCAGCTTCAGCCTGACTGTTGACACGATGAGCTTTACAAATGTTCAAAATATGTGAAATGCATCTATTAGGGTTTTAACATCTCCGTAACTGACATGAGAGAAAGACAACAATGATGTTTACAGGCTCACAGGTTGTAATTCTTGGTGCCAGACATGCTCAAAAGCAATGTTTCTGGCTGATGATAATTGCCCTGCTGTGCCCAAATGAACTAAACATTCATGAAAGATGTTTATTATTGTTTATGTCTGGTTGAGCAATGGTTCAACAACACCTGCTGCACAGGCATAGATCACAGAAAGTCCAACAGGGGGCGACAAGCACACAAGTGGAGAAGCAGACATATAATCATGACGCTCCAAAAAAAAGTTACATCCATATACACACACTAAACAGTATAGTCCTAACGCTATTTAACGCAAGTCTCGTGCTCTCTTACCTTTCCTTGGAAGATGGAGGTTCAGAGTTGGTCTTGAAGAACTTAGACAAGGTCTCCTCCACGGAGGCCTGCGCAGCGGAGATGTGGGATGAAGAGGCCAGGATCCTTGTTATCTGCGGACAGACACCAGCACGGCATTAGTATTTAAGTCACAAAGGTCACCAATCAAGTAGTAGGACTTCAGGTACCTGTGTGTGTTTGAAGATCACTGCCAGGTCAGCTGGGCTTTTGCCATCCTTGGTCCTTATGGTTTTGTCTGCTCCCAGCTGGAGGAGCTTCAGCACTGTCTCCTCTCTGCCATACTGCACTGCTGTAGACAAAGCCTAACAGAAAATATTAGCATCAGTTACCATATGCAAAGTTAAATGTATAAATTGGAGGGACCTGCTATGAAAAAAACAAACAAACAAACAACAACTGTGACACACTGTGTATCCGTTGCCATCCTGAGCATTGATGTCTGCTCCATGGGACGACAGCAGGTTGATGACCTTACTGTAGCCGTCTCTGGCTGCCAGCATCAGGCAGGTCATCTGTGACCTGAAAGAAGAAAGCAGAGATAAAGAGATAAAGTTAGAGGACAACAAAAAGATACAGAAGTTAAATTAAGGATGATGACAAATGAAGGAGATGAAAGATGTGAGGGAAGCAGGAGTGATGGCAGAGGTACAGAGAAACCACCAGGGTGCAGCAAACACCACATAATCATCTGAGACGCATCCAGGAAAACTGGTTCACTGTCTCAACTGCGACTGGCCACAACACAAAACAATTACAACCCATTCTTAACGTGCACCAAGTCTTTACAATGTGTCACAGTTAACGCCTCGAGGTTTTAAAAGGTCTCGTAACAGTTCCAATCCAAAAATTAAAATTCATCTTTATGCCATAACTTTCAATTAGTGGCTTCTTCTTTGAGACTGAAGGTAACAGGCACCAGGCCTGAAGTAAACAGCGAATCCATAAACCTCATCAGCGCAGTATTAGTGCATGTTGTCTTGCTGACATTATAATCACTGCATCTCTCTGACCATGTTTGTTTATTCCCTACAGCTCGTGAGCGTCCAGGTCGTGTGCCCCCCGCCATTTTCTCCTCCCTGTGCTCAGGTTGTCTGTGCTGGACCGCCGGTCGTCCTGGGACCTCTCTCCCTCTCCTGGCTCATTCCAGATGTTTTGAATCTGGATCTTTGTCCTCCAGGAGTCCCTACCTCCTCCTCCTCCTCCTTCCTCCTTGTCGCTGTCTCCCTCTGTGTGTTTGTTTCCTTCTCCTAGACGTGTGAATGATGTGCTTGGTTTTGCCTCATATGTTTGTGTGGTCTGTCCTCTTTCCAGGTCATGGGGCTCAGGTCCAATCTGCTGGTGGCACCTGAAGCTGTTTGATGGCCTCCCAGATTATATTCTTCATTAATGTTTACCATCTATAATAATGGTGTCATCCTGACTGCCCGTGTTTTCCTTGTCAGATTCGAGGGTCTAGTGACAGAAGTGGCTGGACTGAGGGTTTAGTCCTTTGAGGAAAACATGTGATTTTGGGCTATATGATTAAAATTTGAATTGCCTCGATTTGATAAATGGTAGATAAAAGTATCCAGAACTATAGAAGCTTTTAAAACCAGTCCTGAAGCACAATCCGGATTCCAGCAGCGAATCCCTTTGTTTGGTATCTTTCACCACAACAGAGCTCAATGCATTATTTTTGTGGCTCCTTATAGCTAACAAAACGTAACATGAATCTTTAATTCTACTGTTGGTGATTGTCGCGACAGAGAATGTAATGATTGTCACCGTGATTACGTTGCAGTGTTTTGGCATTTAAGCCTTCAAACTCATGGATCAATTACTCAAACCAGCCCTTCTGCTTGATTGCCCAAATTGCCCTTTTGCATTTTTACATTAGAGTCGCGTTTTTAATTCTAGAGAGAGTATTCCTTTGAGCACGATAATAAAGATACGTGTTAGATAGTGTACTGAAGTGGTTTCGGACAGAGCATCCTTTTAAAAAGGTCACACACACTCAAGCACACATTTGGTGAATGTGTCCGTCAACCGCTCACTACTGTGAAATGAAAGACCTGGTTGTGACAACTTTGACCTCTGTTGCTCATGTGTTTGCTTCCATCTGAACAAGGACTGGATATATATATATTAAAAAAAAAACTTCTGCTACAGTACCTCTTATCACCTCTGACTCAAACAGTTACTGAGAAAAACACATCAATCCAAACAGGTGGGAAAGTCCACGGGCAATTCATCACTACTATTACTTTTAATGGTGAGAGAGACAGAAAGAGGCAGAGAGGGGTAATCCATAAGTCACGTGCAAACAAAAGCATTGCCCAATGAAATACAGAATGGGAATGTGTTATCACTCTCAAATTGATTTGACAGGTCTTTTAATACATGGCCTACCACTGGATGGCTGGAGGCAGTAAAAGGTTTGTTTGTTTTATTTTAGAGAGGGACTGAGAAGCAGGTGAATTAAGATCGATCTTTTAATTCTCATTTGAAGTTGGAGATATTAATTAAATCTCATACCAGAGTATCGATACATCACAATACTGATATCATGATATAATATGCTTTTCAAAGCTCAATTCAAAAGCATTTCAGACAACCAGAAGGCAACATCTGTGCTAATCCAGTGAACTGAATCTCTAATAAAGCAAAAATACTTGTCCTGTAATATCCTGTAAATCCATATGACAGTCCTATTTAATGATTTCCAGGTATGACCCAAATACAACCAGGGATATTAAAAACATTGCTGCCTTAGGCTTTGATTTTTTATTTTTTTGCTGTTGATGAATTTTTGTTATATGACTCAACCCTAAATGCCACGGAGAGTAGCGCCTTGTTTTTGCTTTGTCATTCGGACTCGAGACCTACCGCTTTTATCTGTATTATAATGTTGGCAACAGAAGTGTTGACTTTTCTACCAATAAATTACCTTATCTGAAAATCCTCCGAGACAGAGGCGATGTTTGTTTAACAGGTGTGAATCAGTGTGGGACATCAGTGGGTATTAAACATCAACTAAGCAGGACACACAACTACATCTCTCTTTTAAGTGAATTCCAAGAAATCAAAAAGTTAATGTTCTATGCAAACTCAAACAAACGAACCTATGGTTATGACGTGTATGACATTTCCTCTCCGCCCATCAATCAGTCACTTCCTCTTGGACCCATGTGAACAGGTTTAGTGGCATCATTCATTTCTGTTTTCACATCCCGTGTTACTGTATTTTCCCAAGGGTTTGGTTTTACTGTGACACGGGCACCAAGGTCACTCGCACAGTGTTTCAGTGTGTTTGCTCGTGTGTCTTTGTGTGTGTGTGTCCTTCAGACTCTGTGTGTTTTGGCTGGTTCCAAAACAGACAGCTGATTGATCGATGCGCCGACAATTTAGTGGCAAACGTCTTTCCTGGTGTCAGGACCGCAAGAAGAATGACTCCCAAAACCACCTGGCTCACTGTGCCAAGGTAAACACACTCCATCTCACACTGGCCTCTGGTGAATCATAAAAAAAAGAAAGTCACAATGACTACTTTTATATGAAGGCTTGCAAACAGACGGCATGTTATTGGCTGGTTTCGTGCACTGATAATAACCTACCGCTCCATCCACAGGGACCGATCCTGTTGCCAAAACTATATTGAGATGTAAATATCAAGTCTCAAGTCCTTCAGGGAAAGTCCAAGTCTTCAGGTTGTCTGAATGCTGACCATAAAAGTGACATGACATTTTTCTGTCAGAGCTGTTTTAATACAGGCCTTAGCAGCTGTGTGGTTCTCACTTATTTCAGATCCTTGTATTTTTCAGGATTTGGGACGTTCCAGCTTCAGATTCAGTGTGTGTGTGTGTGTGTGTGTGTGTGTGTTTTTTTTGGATTAGAGACTCATAGTAAAGAGGGATAGAAAAGGAACAGCTGTCAAATCAGGTGTACTGATACCCTTATTATCAATTGGTGGGGCCTTTCTGTTTTCCAAAAAAACAAAAGGTTACGGAAGTTCAAGCCGAAATTATGTCAGTGATCTCCCGTCTGGAAGCAAATCGTGTAAAAGTACACCTGAAATCTGTAGAAATATAAAAGAAAAACAGCCACGTGAATGTGCCTGAAAGTGCACATTCACCTACTGTATGTGCAGCCTGGAGAAGCATGTTCCAGCCTTTAAACGACTGCGGCCGACACAGATCAGTGCAGTGAAGGTACAAAATAAATAAATAAAAGAAAGGGACACATGGAGGCAATGGACCCCGCATCGTGCTCCTGCAGGACTTTGAGGGATGACAGAGAATGCTTGTTTACACTAAGACAGAGGGACGAGCAGCTGGTGTTAATCATTGGTTTGATATTCAGACGTAAGAGGCGATGAGGAGGAGGAAGAGGTTTATCCTCTGCACCCACATGAACCCCATATTCGTCTGTTGCTCTGAACGTCGGGGGCTGTCGGTCCCTCCTCCTCACCGCCTCCCCTCATCTGCATCCTTCTGCGTCTTGTTACCTTGCTTCAAATATTTTGTCTGGGAAGGAACCAATCAATTTCCTAACGCTATAGCGTGTCCATGTGTGTCATCAGGGGGGTCTCAGGCGGTGTGTGTCGTGAGTGTAATGGCATCCTGGCGGTGACAGAGTGGCAGGGGATTAGGGGAAAGCTAAACAAGAAAGCCACTGGGGGCCGCATCCTCACTTTGACACAGCAGAAATCCACAGATGGTAACAGTAAAACATGCTTCAAGAGTGACCTCGCTTCATTCTTTTCCACGAGATGGAATTTTTCATGTTCCTCACCAGGGCAGGAAACCAGATTATACACCCAGCTGCTGCAATGCCTGATGGGTCCCAAACTCCTCCAGTCACTTTTATTAATTTATGGGGAAATATGTTCACGATATTCCCACTGCCAATGTTTCTGTAGCATCACTTTCCTATCTCGCAAAAATAAATATACTTTCATTCTTACAAATGTAACAATCTGCACAAACTCAGAGATTTATTTTTGTCAGTTTTCCTTAATATTTCCGATGTTACTCAGACTAATGAGGTTGGCACTGTTTTGGCACCTCAGTGCAGCTACAGCATGTACATGAACGTGTGTTGATGTGTCTGGGGTGATTTGGGGTAACATGTACATCTAATACGGAGCTAAGTTTTTCCCAGATGTTCTTGTTTGTTTGTTTTTTTACGTTTCTATTGGTGTTAGCGATGGTTAGACAGTGTTGTCAACGAGACGATACTCTAAATACTCTTTTTTTGGTTTATGGATTTAATGGACAAATGTACCCGAACAAAAGCTTATTTGTTTTTGGCAGATAGGGCGATGCTAGTGGTTTAGCATGGACATAACGTGCAAGTCAAATGATGACAACTAGACATCCAGGTTAAAACATATATTTCAACGTGTAACAGATCCTAACGATGCGTTCACTGAAATTTGTTGAAACCACTGTTAAACAGATTCTACATTTCAGCCTGGTTTCTTAACCTAGGCACCTTTGGACATTTAGACCTACAAATTACCAAAACCATGCTTACTGGATTACATCCCAGTGTGTACCAAAGCTTCTAAAATCCTCCCACCCAGCCCTTACACTGTGTGTTTGTTTGTCTGTCTGTCTGATACTCGTCTGTACATGCACATGCCATAACAGGACGTTCCAAACAAAACACACAAATATACTCTGTATGGAGCACTCTGGTGCATAATGCTACCACATGGCAGCTAAACATAACGAGAGCCATCAAAGGAAATTTGATCCAGCGCCTCTTGTTGTTTCCTCCCTCCCCTGTTTAAGTCAAGTCTGGAGTGTTTTTACTCGGCCTGCATCAATTCGGGTGTGACAGCACGTATTGTGTTGAAAATCCCATAAACATTTTGACCTGAAACACATCTGTACCCCCAATTCCTACCCTCACCCCCACCCCCTCACCTGTCCGCCATGTTGGGATCAGCATTTCTGGACAGCAGAAGCTCCACACAGCGAGCAATTCTGTCTTCACTGGCAGACGCCTTGCAGCTGGCCATGAGCACGGTCCAATGATCTGTGAACAGGGACGCATTAATGAGGAGGCGCATCATCATACTTTAATTTAACGCTTAACATTAAATTTAGCATCAATTGTTAAAAGTAAAAAAATAATAATAATAAAAAAAAAAAGACTTTTAGATACAGAAAAATAAATTACCATTAACAATAAAATGCAGGTTTTAGACAGGGATAACTACAGACATCGCAGGTGACATCACAAACCACATTTTGATGGTGTTTTTGATGAACATGCATCATAGCTGGGTCACCAACTGCACATAGTCCAATAAAGGCTACGAGGGCAGCTCTTTCTATATATGGTAAAAATCTAGAGGTAGCATGGAGAGACAGTGTAGGCAGGTATATCAATATGTTTTCAAACGAGATGTAGGATGAGACAATAACATTTATTTTGATATAGTTTGATGTTGTGTTACAACCCATTTCTTCCATAGAAAATACCCAGGTATATATCATGTATTTCCCTCATTGGAGCATATTAATTGTAATTGCATTATTTAACAAAACAATTTAAAGGAAGAGAATTGTCTTATTTTTAACCCCAATGAAGTCATACATCACACTATAATAAAAAAATAAAAAAGCCTGGACGGGGACCTGGTGATGGAGATGGATAGCTGCTTATCTGGCATCAGGAAGTGTGGCGGCCTTTATGGGATAGTGACTTCAGAGGAGTCGTCTCCTTATCTTATCCTGATAAAACTGAGACGCATGGCAATAGTCTCAATTCCTGTTTTGTTCCGCCAATGAGCGAGTCCCCAACCAGCGTGTATCACAGTGTGTATCACAGTGTGTATCTAACTGCGTTTGTGTGTTTTCCTGTATGTGTGTGTGTGTGTGTGTGTGTGCGTGCATGTACACCTTGGCCCCCTACATCTCACAGTGGGTTCCTGTGTCTTTGTGGCTGTGCATGTTTGGCTCTATATCTGTGTGCAAGTGTGTGTGTTTATATTATGTGTGTGGGTGTAAACCAGACTGCCTGGTTTGCGTCTACAGAGGACTGGAGTAAATAAATCTGAGGCCTGAGAATTGGTGAGAGTGTATGACAGCAGCATGGTGACCGTTATCAATCACTCGCGCATTCCTCCGCTCGGCCTCGCTGCTTGGACGAACGCCACCAGGACGTGACCACACGTCATCCTCCTGTTTAATTGTTTCCTTAATCTGCCTCCAGCATCAGATGCCGAGACCATGTGAAATCAGTCACACACACACACACACACACACACACACACACACACACACACACACACACACACACACACACACACACACACACACACACACACAGAGTTTAACTCGACATTCTGGACTGAGAATTAATTGACATCAGATATCAACAGCATGACTGGTGCAACGGCTCCAAACCGGGGTCTGGGGACTTTGAGGGGCCACAGGAGGGTTTCTAGTGGATACCCAGGAAAACTAAGAATGCAGTGGTCTCAAAATAATGTATTGTTACTGCAGCAGAAAACAGTGAGAAGAATGCAAAAAATTACTTTACAGATCAGAAATCATGGTTACAGTCTCATCCTGAGAGACTTCAAGTGCACACATGTTGTGTATATTGTATATTGTCTACTGCGGCTGCTGCTATGCATGATGTGGAAATTTTAAGGAAGCACACAAACTATTGTCAACTATAAATTGCTGACACCTGTAGATACATGAATTTATATGCAATGTTCTTCGTCACGTTATTTGCCTAATACAATCATCACTAATTTGCAGTAGTGTTGTTTATAATTAACCGATGAATTCTATCAACTGAACATTAAACCCCACAGCAAGTTGACATGTTGCTATTTCAGAATAAAACCAGTAGACACGCTGCCCGCTGCGCTGAGGACTGAGGTAGGACTGGCATGTTTGTTATTTAATTTTGAAGTCTTTTATTAACCTGTTGGCTGTTTCTGATCATTAATCAGCTGAGGACGAAGGAGGAGGAAGAAGATGAGGTTTACGTTTCAGTGCTCTTGGCGGTGGAGGATTCAATGTGTGTTTGCGTTTTTGTTAATCTGTTTATACATTAGAAAGTCGGGCTACTATTTGCTATTTATCTTAATAAGTGATTTAATATTTTCCTTCTCGGGAGAGGTTATGCCGGTTATACACAGCGCACCCAGTGCGGAGGATCCAATGTGTGTTTTCGTTTTGTTCATTTGCTTTTGTTCATTAGAAAGTCTAGCTACTATTTGTTATTTACTTAAACATTTATTTCAGTTAAATATTCTTTATGTAGGCTTGTTGTTTTGTTTTACTTTGTTCATAGCAGCACTGCAGCTGTGTGATGAGTTTAATGGGTTACAGACTCGTCTATTCTAAATAGTACAATTTAATCTTACTGGTTAATGGTTGCTATCGGTCAGGAAAAAAAAACTTAAAATGAGCATCCCTAACTCACAGTGTATTTTACTAAATGATGCTGGATATCCCTACAGCTTCTGAAACGTTCCTCCACACATTTCATTTTAATGATTTCACTGTAAATACAGCAGAAAGCAGCTACAAACTATTTTTCTTTCGTTTTGCAACTGAAAAATAAGGCAGACAGAAGCTTGGTGGAGATCAAGCCACAGCTAACAATCACTATCAATATACATTCATGTGTCTATTTCTTGTTAAATAATTGATAACTCATTTGGTCTGTAAAATGTCCCAAACAAAAATGTCATTTAGTCATTTACAATGATATAAAACAGAGAACTGCAGCAACTCCTCACATTTGAAAATGTTCAGTATAAACATTTAGTTGACTATAATAAAAAAAAATGCTGTCAATTAATTTCTCCCAATGAACAAACTGATTAATCAACGAATTGTTTCAGCACTAACTCACTCCTGCGAAATAATGTGATCAGATAATGTATAACCTGCAATAAGCAACTGTTCACAGCTTTACTGTTAATTTGCATGACGTTCAACTCTGTCCAACCACAGTATCTCTGTATCTGTGACATAGGGGCCAGTTGATGGTCTCTCAGAAGTAGTTCGTAAAACGTGCTCACCGACCACCTTGGAAATTAAAAATGTTTATAGCTGTTCTGGATGGCCACACTCAGAAAGTTACAGAAATGGGTGGACACACTGATTATGTGACATTTGAAAGGGGCGGAGAAAGTGGGTGTCCGACATTATCCGACCACTGAGTGAGCAGTTTGCGCAGGACTGTAAGAGCTGGTTTCTCCAGATGTTGCTCCGCTCTTTTGAAATAAAAAAGAATACCAGCCATTTAATCTCTTGTTGTTACTGCTGATTTAAGTGAATAGTAACATAGACTGTAATAGTACAATGAGCTTCAATACCAATACTAACAACATTACAATCTATCAAGAGTTTAAAGATCAGAATTACAGTACCCTTGCAATATTCCTTTGACCACAGACTGATCATTCAGAGTGATTCAGATGGAGAGGAGCTGTCATAAAACCATCATATCCCCCTATACAGATTAGAAATTGTGCAATACTGGACTAACTCCTGCCAAACAACCAAATGTTTCATGTTTCTGGGGGATCCTGTAACTACTTTTTCCGACAGGATTCATGGCTTTTATGTGTGTATGACTGCAGACTCCTTAACAAGGAAGAGTTCTTCCCCCATGCTTGTTTTACCCAGTCTGACCTCGATCCAACAGATGCCTTCAATTTTTCTCGCTTTGAGACGAGGGTTCAGTGTGCATGAACTAAAAACAACTCAATGGATAAGAAGTGTGTTTCTGCACGAGTTCCTCTTTGGCGTCATCAACATTAAGTAATGTCAGATGAAGGCCCAATTGGTCCCCCAGTCTTTGGCTGTAGCAGGTGAGGAAATTGAAAAAAGGTGCCACAGGGAAGAATAGCTCGACACCAACGCAACAGGGACCATCAGGAGGATTAGGTATGGCTGTTTCATAACCAAGTCTGGAAGGCAGCGATGTAATGGTGTTGCCTAATCACACTGTATGCCCTAGTTTATTTATTCTGAAAGGTGGTGGGTGAGGGATCACATAGAGGTCAGTGGAGCCTCCTACGCTTGTATATCAACCACCGATACAAAATAGTATGAATTTGTCTGCCCAATTTTTGTTTTGAAAACAAAGAATAGTGATCCATATTGGTCTGACCTTTGCTGAAGTTGGCTCTGGCCCCTCGGTCCAGTAGCAGTTTGGCCAGGTCGTAATTAGCCACATTGACAGCACACATGAGAGGAGTCCATTCAAAGCCAAGCCTGGTCTCCACGTCCATGCCTGCAAAAGGATCAAATTAAGTGAGGAGGCAATGAAATGATTACATAAAAAGTAAATCTGTGCCTAAACCCCCGCCTGCCCCCTAAGGTGCTCAAACATATATATTGTACATACACACACAATCAGGCCCTGTTTCTTTGAGCATCCTTGCTTAGTTTTTCCTATCCCTCTTAAATTCTGCAAAACAATTTCATGCAAAACTGTTACGTTGAGGTGAGAAATCACAGCCACCTACTTGACAAATGATAAATAATTCCAACTCTGACTAGTCCTCTCCACCTTTTTGTTTTTTCATTCAGACATCCTTATCTACCATGTTGGCCTGATTTTACATCCATTATTATAAGACAATCCCTCCTTTTTCTATATATATATATATATGCATCTTTTACGTGTATTGTCACAGTAAAGCAAAGATAGAGCACACATAGCAATAGAAATTAATAGAAAATTTACAGCTAGACTTCATTTGTTATATTAATTTATTATTCATAGCTAACTGTCAAGTTGTGTCACAAGTGAAGAGAGCACTTGCCACTATCCAACAGCTGTTCCACAGTCCTAGTGTCTCCATTACTGATGGCTCTTTTCAACAATGACACATTATCTTCTGCGTGTGGTACAATAGCATCCTGAGCCTGTGAAAACAGGGAAGAATCAGAGTAAATTAACCAAAAATAATTTTACTCCAAAATAAGATCCATTTGGAAAACATGTCTGTTTGTGGATACAATCTCTGAATTCCAGGGAGCAAAATTCCTTTAATGAATGTAGGAGAATTTCAAGTAATATTTAGCAGAAATCATTCCTGCCATTAGCTGTGTGCAATAACGACAGTCCCCAGACTATGATGTGCCCCAGTTCCATACTACACACTAATACCATAAAGTAGGTAATCTATACCAATTTTGATACTGTTTTTGTGTACTGTACAATATATGTAATTTGTTACTTTAGTAATTTGTACTCTCAAGAGATGCAACAACTAAACTGCATATTTGGAACACTACTTACAAATGAACTTATTGTGGACAAAGCAAAAATGTTTTTCTAAAGATTTAACTATGATTACTATTCAGGTCACACTTCTTTGAACGAAACAGCTTTCACTGTGTGGGTTTTGTTTATTAATTTCCATTTATTTGGGGTTTTTCTTCATGTAGATAAAAGGAAGAATACTCTATGGCAAAGATTTCCACTTTAGCCATCATCACACATGGTGTGTCAAGATGCTGAAGTGGTCTACTAACCCTTATTTCATATAGTGAACCCTGAATCTTGACAACCACAACAAACCAAACCAACAAATATAAGAAATGGACAACTAACTGAGGACAAAGCTAAATGCAATATTGTTTATCAAGATCTTTCTGAGGTTGTCTCATCGCCTGTACAATTACTTCTAATTATTTCAACCTTTTAAACTGTGATTAGCTACTTCATTTCTGTTGCGTGGCCACCAGTAGCACGTTTAAAATTAAATAAATTGGTGTTAAAGTGCAGAAAAGATTTAGACTATATTCCTCCACATTCACAGAGGTACCAGAGATGACCTGAAATATTAAGATTTATTCGGTGTTGAAGCATTAATTTAGCGCTTAAATTTGCCCTCTACTGTGCGCATTTTCGCTACTGCGCCACAAACAGCTAGTATGAATGACAGTTTAGGGTGAAAAAGAGCGGTTTACCCCTCTCTCCATTATCACTAAAATTAGGTATGTACATTAATTCCCATTTAAGTTTATGACCATAACTTATTTTGCCAGCCTATTGGTTTCCTACTATTACCATTATTTTATATAGCTAATAATAGCTTATGTTAGCTAGCGAGCCTAATTTCGTTGCTGCTAGCTAACGTCGTTGTCCATTTCTCGCGGCATAAACCGGTTTGAGGAAACATGTTGTTTTCTAAATTAACCTTGATGCGAGAAGAGTTTTTATCCGAACAGCAACCGATATCCCACTCTTCATTGCTGGCGTCGCTTTCATCTCCAGCTGGGAAGGCGTAATCCATGAAGCTGCCCATATTTCCGACTAGCCCGCCCGTTAGCTGACGTGAGAGAAGCCGTAGCAGGTGAAGGGGGCGTCGCCAGACAACAAACAGAAGGTGTTTCGAGTGGACGGTGATAACGTCCAGCTGCGTCAACCGGCGTAATTAATGCCCAATACCTCCAGTAGTTTAACCATCTTAAGCGAAAGACAGCAAATGATCGAGGCCAGTGGAAGGATGAAGTTTAACTACACCCTAGTGGTGAGTTAAATTTGCCGTATCAAAAAGGCCACATAAATCACTTGTGTGCTGTGGGTTTTTGTCTGCCCTCTCCAGCCCTATCGCCGCTATGTGGTTAGCTTAAACGCTAGCGTTATCGATTTAGCTAAAGTAAGCTAACATTAGCTTTTAAACATCTCAAAACCTAGCTCTGAACGTTTACATGCACTAGTATATGTTTCTCACATTAGCTTTAGTTAATATTAGTGTTTAGCTGGCTCGCTAGACTGGACGCACATTTAATGCCCCTACATGCTATTTTATGCTAACTACATAGTTAGCACTAGCATCTATTTTTCTGTTGGTTCAACTTGTATCTCTAATGCTTTTGTCTTTTTTGTCCAGAGGCAGCTTTGGAAAGGGAAGTTGGGACCACCCTGGCTTTTACTGTTGATTTTAAGCTTGTTGATATGACAGGTGAGTGGTAGGCTGCCCTTTTGTTTCAATAAAATGTGTAAACATTTGCCACTAATGGATTTCCTCGTGTTTATGCTGAGTGAGAATATGAATGTGTTCTTAAAACTTCTACACACCTATACCCGCACAGGTGTTTTTACTTACAGTATGTGCTTGATGATAAAGATTTAATCTCAGGACTGTGTGGGTGTGAACTGACTGCTTGACTGACATCTCCCCTCACACTCCTGTTAAGTTTTATTGCTTCTGTTTGGGTGGGACACCTTTTCCCTCATCACTCTTACTTATGTAGTTTGGTGATGTCATGCCATTCCCAGCATAGCTTTTCCCAACTTTAAACCGAACGGGCATCTAGTCATCCAGAATAAGTGGTAAACCTATGAAGATGTGCAGAGACATCTAAGGATTTCACATTTGGCAAGCTATAAGCTACTGCATAAATTGTCTCAATCACTGAATTCCGTTCTATAAGCCATCATTATCTATAACTGTATATATGTAGGTAAAACTAATTCAGTCTAATACAACAGTCCTGCACCAACTCTTGGCACCTCTCTAAAACCATGTCAACAAAAAACTGAACATGCAGGTAGGATTTATAACAGCACTGTAGTATTAGGTGTTCCTAATAAAGTGGCAACTGAGTGTGTCACTGTCTTATGAGATGCCACACTTTAGGATAGAATCTCATCTGGCTGCAAGGGAAAGTAAATGTCCAGTAGAGGTCACTCTTCCTCTGGACAAGACTAATAACTTGTCCGCCCCTCAGCAATAATGACTCCAAGGTCAGCAAATATCCAAGCAACCAAAAATCTGGCTTCATTTGTATGTTTTCCTCAATGTCATCACACAGCTCAGGTTATTGTTTTATCCCTCTCTCACACACAATTACCAGGAACCAAAATTAGTTCAGTCCGTCATCGGCCCAGCTGTTGCTCAGATTTTGGGGAGACGAGGAGAACATGTCCTATCCAGCATTATAGCAGAGATTATTTGTCCCCTTTCAGTTGTTTGACTTAAATATACTGTATGTTCAGGTTTCTTTTATTGGCACAGTTACATTTTAATTAAGTATATTTTATGGTTACTTTAGTAACATGCAAAAAATACCTTTCTTTCACCTTTGTAGCTAGAGCCTCTATCCATCTTAACTTTAAAACCACTCAACTCAAATGCATTTCAACTACAAATTCGACTTGCATGTTTAAATCAATTATATATATTCCATATTTAGCAGATTTTGATATGTGTGTCTACCTGAAAGCTGAAATGAAAACTACACTCTTGCTGTACTTGTCTCATTAACCTAAATAAAAATAATCATCTTGGCCTCCACTAACTATTCTACAGACGGAAATCTAATTGGATTATTACAGTACTTGTCGAAAGTAAATTTATATATATATATATTTTATGAGCACATAGCTGGGGTGGGAATCAAACCCATGACTGTGTAACTATAGCACAGTCTCCATCGCCAGGAGGCTGCCCAGCTGTTTCACAGATACTGATGGGGATCAAATTGAGCTTAAAGGACCAGTTTGTATGATTTAGGGGGATCTACTGGCAGAAATGGAATATAATATTCATAGTTATGTTTTCATCAGTGTACAGTCACCTGAAACTAAGAATCAGCGTTTTTGTTAGTTTAGAGCTTGTTATCTACATTGGGAGGAGGGACCCCCTCCTCCACAGAGCCCATGCTGCCAATCTCTGACTCTACCACTTCCCACAGGTGGTCTACTAGATTCAGAAATGGAGGCTACTGAAGTTCACTGAACTCACGGTCATCTTCATGGAAACAGCTTGACACGGTGCACTATCAAGATGGTAGAAGTAGCCATTAAGAAGATGGTAAATTTTGGCCATGAAGTTATGGACATGGCCAGTGACAAAACTCAGGTAGGCTGTGGTTCTCAGACAATGATCGATTGGTATTAAGGGCCTGAAAGTGGCACCATGAGCCCAGAAGGCCGGTTGAGTTCATGGATTTCATGCTGTCGATGCCAAATTGTGACCTGTACCATCTGCCAGATATTTGATGTGAACATTAACTGAAGCTCCTGACCTATGCGTTGAACCGCTGTCACGTGATTGGCTGATTATAAAGTTATAAAGGTTATAAAGTGTTTGGTGAGTGTGTGTTTGTTCCAAGAGATTTACTCACCATGTGGCTCACTCTTGACTGCAGTGCTGACAGTGAGGATAAGACACATTTTGTGTGTTGAGATATTCAGGAACCAAAGGTTTACTGCATCCTCACATTTTTTTTATTTTTTATCTCTGTTCCCTCATGAAATGTCTGGAGGTTTTGATCCTCCCTGCTCCTGAAACTGTGCGTAACCTGACACTGATAACACGGTTTCAAGTTGATTTTTAGATGTCCCGGAACTGTTTCTGCTACTCTGTGAACGATAGGGAGGCAGCTGAGTGGAGCGAAATAAAAAGCCACAGCTTAGATCAGTCCACCTGCAGCAGCGTCTGGAATAACTTTAGTCTCTGTTGTTTTTCTTCGTCTAATTTATGTTTTACATGAGAAGTATGATGGTTTCTGCACAATGCACGAGAGAAGTAGCTGATGAAGGGACTTATTTTGCTTTTGATTTGACTGTTAAAATTCACAGATAAGGCTCTTAATTATGTTTCTGTCTGCTTTTTGTTTTTGCACTCATAGTTGTGATTTTAAAATTGTACACTATTTGTAAAGGGGCTTTTGGTGTCAGAGGAAATGTAGGAAACCTTCCTTGTGCAAATCAGTACTATAGTTTCGCTGTGCTTTAACAGACATTAACCTTTAAAAGGAATTAGAAACTCAAAACGTAGACAAATCAGAAAGATTATTAAAGACACGGAGTGGAAATAATTCCACGGGCCACTGACCCCTGGACTGTATTGTTCCCTGCATTACCTGGCACTGTATATGGATCAATATCTGTTTGCTCAGGCGGCCTCGGTGGCGGATCAGCTGGGGGGGTTTTTTGCCTCCTCAGCTTGTTGCCACAATATGCAAGCTGTGCTCGTCAGTGTGGAAATGACGTGTGTCTCCGCAAGTTTTGGCGAGCCCATAAAGGATGGACTGTCCTCTTCACTGTCACACTGAGGGAAGAGAGAACAGGACACCACGAGCCAGGAGAGAGAGAGAGAGAGAGAGAGAGAGAGTGAGTGGGACTTGACCGAGCGAGACTAACAGAGGATAGAGATACCAGTCTACCAGGGGTTTTTTTGGGGGGGAGGAAGATAACTGAGCAGTGACATCATATTTACTGGAGGCACAAAGTGGAGGCGAGGAACAGGCGGGCACCCTCTTCTCTTGCCTGTGGGAACGGAGCCACTCAGAGGGGGGGGACGCAAATGTGAGCGACGCGCACGGACACGACTCAGGTGCAGAGAAACCAAACTGGCGGCGCACTTAGGATGCAGAAGTCACCTGTGGAAGATGCAAACTTCTTCTCCAAGTTTTTCTTCTGGTAAGGCACGTTTGTTCTTCCCCCGTGTGTCCGCGGAGCCGCGGTTTGTCTCTGGATGGTAAGGTGCAGACGCAGCTCTCCCCGTGAAGATCAGTGCAACAACAACAACAACAACAAAAAAACCCACTGTAACTGAAATTGCACACACTCGCGTGCGAGAAAAAAATCTGATACTGATGAATCAAGCATTGCTAGTAATAAGTGTTACACTTGCTCCATTTCTCAGTTTGCACGCTTGATTGAAGAACTTTGAATAGATGTGACTCACCGCGCTGGACCGGCACGGATTGTTTGGTGAGGACAGTAAAAGTAACTGCGAAGCGTAAAAACATCGCAAGAAAGTGCCGTCATACTGTCAGGGACCATCTTCATTCATCCTCTTTTATTGCCTCTGAGAGAAATAACACCAGATTTTAAGTGGCGGCGCGACTCCGCAGAATTATCTCTTTATGGATCCTTATGACAGAAGTGCATTTGTGTCGCTGCCTCCAGGCGTAAAAATGCGCATCTGACGGTTTAAAACTGCGCTAAATGTTGGGTTGCGCTCTGATGAGGCATGCTCACATTGCGCACAACATTATTATGAACCATAATAACCAGTGGGGATTTAAAGTGCACCTATGGCACACATTAATGCTTTATAAATGTTGTTTTTCATCAGGATTTCTGTGCTTTAGTACTTTTACCTGTGGCATTTAATTTCCTCTAATACAGTACTGAAGTTCCATTGATGCATCATGTCCTCTCTCTCCTCACACAAATGAGAGGTCTCACAAGTCTGCTGTGTGTCACCCGGCTGGGACAGTCTTTCTTTTAAATGATTCAGTCACAGGGACCGGCAAACATCTGACTTTATCTCCCCTTCTCTGTCATTAGTCTGACTGTGAAACCTCAGGGATTACTCAGATTATAGCTAAAAAGCAGTTTACATTAAAGGTTCCAGACACTCCAACCCTGCAGGCTTTTCCTGTGACCACACAAAAACAAATACTGTGTCATCTCTCAGATATCTTCACCTGATTGACAAAAATGTATCTTCAGTGTGGTTGTTGATGTAGTGTCATATGTACCTGTACCTCAAGTTGATGTTCTAACCAAATGTTCTGCATCTTAGCTTCTGCTCAAGTGCACATTCGCTGGCTTCAATCAGCCGCTGCCCGACAATCCGTCTAATCTGTGCTTTCTCTACAGGTGGATGACACCGCTGCTGAGGAAGGGCTTCAAAAAGAAGTTGGACCTGTCAGATGTGTACAAGGCTCCTTCGTTTGATCTGGCAGACAACCTCTCTGAGCGACTCGAAAGGTTTGTGCAGTTTACAGTAAGCTTGTGTACGCGACTCGTGGTTTTGACCGACTGAAAGTGGAAATTTAAGGATCATTTACGTGGTTCCCTTTGGTCCAAACTGTGCCACAAGCTTGCACGGCGAGGAAAATGTATAATGACTCTTAATTATGTATAAGACAGTGTTTTCAGGTAGGCTTATTAAGGTAATGTCGCATCCTCTTGGGATAAGTTATTTCATTATAAATCCTTTTCAAAAGAATGATGTTACTCCCTCAGAATCAAACACCAAACGCTTCCTTGAAGAGCTGCCATTTTGCATTAATGTTCAGTCATTGCACACAGAAAACAGGGCATAAATTAGACCAGAATGCAATGCGGTGCGTGCAATGTCATCTGGCTGCACAGATAACTTACTTGTCGGTAGAGAGACACTCTGGGAAACCCATAAAATCTACAAATGGCCAAAAAATTGCTCTGAAAATGTCGAGGTCAGCTACAGCCAATGCACACAACAGGTACATTACACACTGTGTCTGGTGTGTGCATGACCAGCGTATATCAACAAAAACACATTCAGTGGAGACGCAGAGAAGCAATAACCCAGAAGTCTGCAGGCTTGATGTTTTTTTGTTTTTTTTTTTTTTGTACGTGCCCTTTACATGTGTTTACAGTAGCAGACCATCAGCCGTCCTTCTCTCAGAGTCAAGTTAAAATATGGGCTGGCATTTAAACGGGGCTAGACATAAACCAAACCTGTGTGTGCCAAACAAACAAGCAGACAACAGACGATGGACACGGTTTAACTCTTCCTTCTCTACTCTGTGTCTCTTGCTTTGTCTCTGACCCTTATACCTGCTGCCATATTTATTTCTCTTTCTCCCTTTTTGTCTTGTTTCATTTGTCCCTCTTGTTCTTTGGTGTCCTGGATTTCTCTCTCTCTCTCTCTCTCTCTCTCTCTCTCTCTGCCTTTTTGTACTTTCTCTCTTCTTTTTCTTCTTCATTTTGTGTCTTTTCTTTACTCTCATTAAATCATGTTGCTCTCCACAGTATTTGCCCCATAATCTTTTTTTTTTTTTTCCCCCATTATTGTCACTCTTTTCTATTCCTCTCCCGGTCTGTGCCGTCTCTCTTCCTTTTTTTTTTACAGCGCTAAACAAATGCCACATCTTTGACAAATCTTTCTTTTCTCAGGAGTCAGATGTTATCCCAAAGATTAAATACTTTTTTACCTTGCCTAACAACCGCAGCGGTGTCCCAAACCGGCCCCTGCCTCTCGGTCACCCAGGGGCCCGCGTCACGCTTAATGGTGCCAACAAGCCAGTTAATGTACATGGGTGTTAAAAAAGTTGACCTTTTAGAAAAGGGCCCAGAGCCCACCGGGTGATGAATGAGCAGCGGTGGGTGATTTCTTTTTTTGCTTTCATTATTCCGATCAGGCCGACAGTGAGGGCTTCTGGGAATGTGAACTTTAACTTCCATTGCAGCACGCTGTGTACCGTCAGCCCCCTTCATCACCCAGCTTGGCTCAACTCGATTCTACGAGCTCTGCTGACTTTTTTCATTATGCTGCAAATTACAAAATCAGATATAAACAAGAGATAGAAAGACAAAAAAAAAAAAAAGAGTCTAGCTTCTAAATCCAAAAGTTCTGTTTGGGTGCGCAGGGCTCCAACAAGGATACTTATATAGAACCGACCCACTTGGTTTGATACTGTGGTGGAATCGAAAAAACGCCTTCGTCACTTTCGATACCTAAGAAGTTAACGAGCAAAATCGCATCAGCGTCATTGAGCCAATGAGCTTGCAGCTTGCTCTGACCGAGAATGAAGAGTCACAGTAGTTCTGATGTCATTCGAGATGAGCATGAATGAGGTAATGACGGGACATGAATGAGTCGGTCTAATATTGTGGCTGAGCGTGCAATCTTTAAGCAAAGGGGATGGCTTTGGATCCTGCAGTGTGTTTCGTGTGTGTAAAATGACACTGGAACTCATTGGGATCATTTTTGTAGAAGGTAATAACCTGAGGTCAGGGTTTCCTCTGGCCCCTAAAAGTTAACGTGGGCAGCAGGCCGCGACAGAATGACTGTAACAGTGAAAGGAAACACTTTCAAATTTCGAGCAGCATCGATGCAGAAACTGTGTTTACTTTGCACCGGTCATGTCGTGGCTGATACTCGATCCATATAATAGGGTCAGTATCGACGCTGTTGCTGATCTGAGGGATCAGTTACATTTAATCTGCAAATTGAGACGAATACACTGTTGAAAACTTCTACTTCTGTTTGTCTTTTAGAGCTTGGTAGAATCCATTGTTATTTAACTTCAGGATATCAATACCTAGGATAACCTTGTCCACTTACTCTGTTTTTTTATCTCTCTCTTCCTCACTGGTCTGCCCTCCTTCCTTCTCCTCCTTTGCTCATCCTTTCTATTCTCCACTTCTTGTGCCATCACTCAGCGCTGAGCCGGTCAGCCAGATCACCCGGGTTATAAATGACGCCCGGAGAACAATGCAGCTACTTACTGTAGCTGTAACCGCCTGCCAGGGCGGTTGTGGGAAGTTAATCCAACAGTACTGTGACAAGCTTGCAACAAGGTGTCCATTTGCCCCAGTGAATTTCTTTCTAAATAAAAAATAAAGATGATTTCTGACAAATCTGCAAATTTAGCAGAGAAATAAACAAATAAAAAGTTTATTGTGTTTGTGAAAATAAATTTAAATGCACCGCAGCTTTTCATTCTGTGACTGAATCACCAGCCAAAGTTGTAGAAAGGACTATTAAACACTGGACAGCTGGTCTATTGCCAACGTAGTAGTAGACAAATAGAATAGCAACAGCCAAGCGTTGCTGGCATTTGGCTGGTGGATGTGTTATTCTCCCACCCCTGCCTGCACTGCTGTTTACTGTGTTGTAACTCTGTCCTCCCTGCAGAGAATGGGACAGAGAGGTGGTGTCAGCCAAGAACAAGCCCAGGCTGATGCGAGCGCTGGCCCGCTGCTTCTTCGGCCCCTTCGCCTTCTTCGGTGTCCTCCTCTACCTCGGGGTGAGTCCGTCGCTCCGTCCTGCACGGTGGAAACACTGACACAAGTTGGGCGGTTTCAGATATAACACCCATCATTCCTCGTGCACTGTTCGGTGTTAGGTTTGTTTATTTGTTGGTGGAGTGAATAAAGTTTTAGTTTGAACTCAACACTGTATAAAGTTGTGGAGGGGAATTGGTGACGTCATAACCTTGATATCATTTCACATTGGGCAAATGTGATGAAGGTGCAGCGTCCCACAACACACTTTCCTGTACGGCTTGTATAACCTTCATGGAAGAAAACAAAACCCCGACCACCATCACCCACTAAACACACATTAGAAAACATGAAATTAGCATTTGTAGCTATTGCGTTGGAATTTAAAATACCTGTTGTTGTATTTGACAACTGTTTTCCAGGGGTGGTGCTGTTATCTTAAGGTGTTAATTTGCCTCGGCTTTTGGCTTCAGCTGACTGGTTCAAAAGAATTAATTAAATTATAATATTGTTTGAGTTAAACATCCTTTTTTCAGTCAGCGTCGGTACAGACAAGCCTGCAGCGAATAGTTTCTGATTTATGTTTCTAATCTTGTTTTTATATATTTAAAGGCACTGATTGTCGTTAAGTAAACAACACAAAAATACAGTTTTCAACAATAGTTTTAAACATTCCCAGGGTTTCCATCCATCCAATTGCCAGCTCCGTGTGTGTGTGTGTGTGTGTGTGTGTGTGTGTGTGTGTGTGTGTGTGTGTGTGTGTGCGTGCTGTGACGTACAAACATCACAAGCATGTCTCACCGTAGTGCCACAAACCGCCTCACTGTCCTGGGCTTATGGGGAAGGGGGCAACAGCAGCCGTTGCATAAGTCAGTACAGTTGGAGGTGGTTGTCACGACGACGAGAATGCCTGTTAGGTGTTGAAGAGGCTGTGTGGGGAAAATGGAAAAGCTTTTGAAAAGGCTTTTAGTGGAAGCTGAAGGAGAATGTGGTCGTTGGATGTTCTTAAATATTTAGTAGAATCTCAATTATATGATGGTCAGTTGCACCTTGATGTAATTGTTATATAGACAAGTTGTGGATCCATTAATTTTATTTCTTTTAATCAAACTTAGATTAAAAAAGGAAAAAAAAAAAAAAGATTATGCACCTTGGTAGAGGTGATTTCTGTTTTGAAAAAACAGGAGTTAATTCAACGAGAAAGAAAAGTAAATAAAGGAAGTAGATTAAATAAACTTTTCTGTCCCGTTGTCCCATCTCTTATTGTAGGAGGCTTCCAAGACGGTGCAGCCTCAGCTTCTGGGTCGCATCATCGCCTCCTTTGACCCGTTCCACGCTCCGGAGCGGAGCCAGGGATACTTCCTGGCCCTGGGCCTCACCCTCCTCTTCATCGCCCGCTTCCTCCTGCTGCAGCCTGCCATCTTTGGCCTGCATCACCTGGGCATGCAGATCCGCATCGCCCTCTTCAGTCTCATTTACAAGAAGGTAAGAGGAGGGCGGCTCGTTTTGGAACGAAGACTCTGTTCTTTCTTTTTGTGTTTTGTACCTTTTTCATGTTTAAATTCAACTGGATGTGCATCAGCTGGTGTCTGGAGGGGATGGAGCTCGGACTGGATTTCATGAAGTCAAAAATTAATTCTGTTTTCCAAAGTAATTAATACAAGATAAGATGTTATGTCATTTATGCATTTTTTAAAAAAGAATGAAAACCACATAATTTGATGATCTGATCTTTTAATTATTATTTGCACAATTAAAAGTGACTTCATGTAGAGTTAGGGTTAGATGTTGGTAAATGTTGTGGCGCCGAGGGCTTTTCCCCTGATAACACTGTCAAACAGTCGCTACTTAAAACTGCTGCTGTAACATGTAGTTGTCGGTACAAGACAATACAACCCAGCTGATTAGATAGTAGTTTTGTTTTTGTTTTTTTTTGTGAGCATTCGTCAGCTGAAACAACATTTTTGTTTTTTTTTTTCTTCATGTTGTTTCTAAGAGTCGGGCCGTTCAGGAGCTACCTCATCAGCTAAATGCTTCCACCTTGTTTATTAGCATGCATGACTGAACGTTCCCAGAAAGCTTCTCACATGAGGAAGTCCAGCAGTGGCAATCCTCAGGAAGCTGTAAGGGCGGGGCCGGGGGGGTGACGGCCTGGTGTCAAAACCTGGTCACGCGTCACCGGCTTCCTCTCAATCCAATTCACTTTTTTCCCCTTTTTTCTTTCAACTGACCCGTGACCTTTCAACCTTTTCAGACCCTGAAGCTTTCCAGCCGAGTCTTGGATAAGATCAGCACCGGTCAGCTGGTCAGTCTGATGTCGGCCCACCTCAACAAGCTGGATGAGGTGAGAGAAAAACCCAAATGTTGTCGTTACATGACATATACACTGGAGCAGGTGTTTCTCTCCATTACTCCATCCCATCAACTGCTGCTCAGAGTCATTTAGATGCTCCAAATCCAAATGTACAGTCCCTGCCGTACACTGGCTGGCTGAGGTGACTGCTACAAAGAATGCTCCAGGTGTATGAAGCTGTGTGAGCAGGTGTGAGCAGGTGTCCTGATTCCTTAACATCTCATAGTGTCTGATGCATTTATTACGCCGCTGGATTTGGTTTTCACGTCTCATCACCAGTGACGGTGCAGAGCATCTACAGACTTTCCCTTTCACGTCGATCATCATTTAAGCATCTTATTTTTTTCTACTACTGATTAACTACTACATAACTCCAGCTGCAAACATGGCAGGGAAATGTAAGAAACGTGGATGAGGGTCTTACATGCCACAGCGTCCTGTTTTCACCTGGAGTACTTCAGCTGGTGTATCCGGCCAGGATAAGGTGTTTACATGTACAACACATAATTGGGATAGCATGAAAATGTAAACAAAGTATAAATTCCTACTAATGATACGTGAAGTTCACTGAAAGATTTTGTTCGCAAAATCATATTTTTAGAAATAGTACAGAGATTAATTGCAAACTAAGATTTCAATGCACCGTTTACTCCCAGACACCAGTGCACGTTATGGAGGTTTCTGAAGTACGCAGAGTGATATTTTAATAAAGTTTCAATGTGAAGAATCTTTGAAATTGACCTTTGGGTGCAGAAATCAAGTGACTGCTCTTTTGACTTGGAGTGCAGTAGTTTTCCACTCATAAATACCTGTTTATGTTGCTGTGGGCAGCATGAGGGAGACACCCTCACTGACTTCAGTGAATCCATCACCAAACACTCAGCTTTGTGTTCTTCATACTGAGGGTCTGGATCAGTACACACACACACACACACACACACACACACACACACACACACACACACACACACACAAAGGTGTGTGTACACAAGCAAAGTACTCTCTAACTGTGAATCGGCGTGGGACACAAATTTCTGATTAGGCAAGACGACATACCTGGAGGGCAAGTGTGTGTGTGTGTGTGTGTGTGTGTGTGTGTGTGTGTGTGTGTGTGTGTGTGTGTGTGTGTGGGCTGAGCTGAGTCTTGCCCTCAGTCTCACTGAGGCGCTGAATGTGGAAACACTCTGTCACCTGCTTTGAGACAATTATCACCTGGCTTGGATGTGGCCTGGCTAATGCACCACTCTCTCCTGGTGGGGGTTACCCAGTCTGGTTGTGTGTGTGTGTGTGTGTGTGTGTGTGTGTGTGTGTTTGATGAAAGAAGGGAAGTTGTGATATTCAGCAGAGTTGATTCCCTCAGGTGAGAGGATAAAGACGGAGCTTGTCGAGGTGAGAGCTGAGAAAGTTTCTCGTCTCTGCTGCAGCTGAGATTCATCAGCGCAGCGTTAACTGGGATGAAAGTGAATTCCTTAAAAAACAAAGTTTGCTTTTGTTTGTTTGATACATTCCTGTTTTTGTTTGTGTCTTTTGTTCCTCGCTCACTTCTTCCCACACATTCATTCTGTTGCCCCACAAACTTTTCATTCCCTGTAATGTATAATGGACGTCAGTATCTAAAAAAAAAAAAAACGTCACAACTCCTCAGTGGCCTGCGGTGAACCCTGACCTCTGACCTCACTGAGGTAAATGAAGGTGTGGACACCGGCGGTGCCTCACTGGTTGGATAACACCAGGTTCAAGACTCGACCGTGGTTAAAGTAATAAAGTCATATGAAGCATGCGTTATGTTTGAGTATTACATATTCACTCCTTCACTCCTTAAAACCACAAATGTATTTAAATAGACTCCTTCTTTCTTCTTCTACGACTTCCTATAATAACAAACCATAATATAACCCTCTTCCTGTACTCTCTGTCTGTACGCCCAGGACCACATGTTCCAAACCCTCTTGTTTTTACCAAAATACAGCTGAAGACACAGTTGCTGTTTGTTGCTAGCTAGCGTAGTTAGCTGCTCACTCTTTGTTGCACGGGGCTGCGTTTTGTTTATATTGATCCGAGCTCCTCAGAGCTCCTGGCCTTTAACTTCTCTAAGCCTCCTGCTCAAACCTGCAGGCAGTGAGGGTATGAAATTCAAACATAGGAACATAAGAACAGGTTTTTAGTTGAGTACTCCTTGAACCCGACCTCTGACCTCTGACCTCTCTCCGTGGAGGAGCAAAAATATCTTTCCTTATCGGAAACATTTACAGCTTTCCAGTCACCTTTTTTATGTACATTCATGTCATCTCTGTGTGTTGTGTGTGTACTCCAGAGTCTGGGTCTGGCCCACTTTGTGTGGATCACCCCCCTGCAGTGTATACTGTGTGTGGGTCTGATATGGGAGCTGATCGAGGTGAACGGCTTCTGTGCTCTGGCAACTCTGACCCTGCTGGGCATCATCCAGGCCTGGCTCTCACAGAAGATGGGACCTCACCGGTGGGGAAACACTATCGCACTTACACATTATACAACATTTTTGAACATCTTGTGCATATGTAAAACAGTGCACGCGAACACATCATGCACATATGCTTGTATGTATGTACGGATTCATGTTCGCACACAAGGTTGTGCATTCGTGCAGAAATCTTCATCCGTGTGTGATGCTGCTTTAAAAATCTGTCTCCTGCTGACAGGGCAAAGCGAGCGGGGATGATCAGCCGCCGCCTGGCTCTCACCTCGGAGATTGTGGAAAACATCCACTCTGTGAAGGCGTACGGCTGGGAGGAGGTGATGGAAACCATCATCAAGAACATCAGGCAGTAAGACACCACACACACACACACACACACACACACAACTATAGCAGTGTATCATCTGCTCATTCAAACTTATTATTATTTAAAGGCTCTTTAATCATTTTAAACATCCTCAGGTCAGGTATTGGCAGGTTTAGGACCAACTTGTGTCAGATTCAGGGAACCCAGCTTAGTTTTAGTGTCATTGTTTGCAACGTGGAGATTTGAACCAGTTCTGTTTTCATAAATTCACAGACAGTATAGAGGCCCCTAATCATATTACAGGTATCCTTTTTTATACTCCGTGTCCAGTATATTATGTGTCGTAGATATACTGTAATAAGTTGAACTGGAAAAAGACGCAGGCAGCACAGAGAAGTCAGCCGACATCACACCTGCAAGGCTTTGATTGTAGAGAGATGGAGTCGACCTGGTGCCACAAGTGAGAGAGAGATGTTAAAAACATGCGGTTTAACCTGCAGAACCACGCTGGCGTCACTGACGCTCATCAGTGCCAGGATCAGGAGCACTGTAATTGGCAAGTATATTAAACATACGGGAAAGAGTTTTGATGTCATGGTGCAGAAAAAAATGTTGATTAGTATCAGAGCTGACACGGAGATACCAAGACTTCACATTTACCTGAAGATAGCAGCATGAAAAACTGATGCACTGGTAACCACGGTTGCGATGTTCATGAAAGTTCCTCCGCTAGCTTCAGTATAAACTGAAACTACTCCCCTCCCTCCTCAGGGACGAGATGACGCTGACGAGGAAGATCGGCTCTCTGCGTTACTTCTACAGCGCCTCGTACTTCTTCTCTGCCATCTTGGTCATCGTGTCGGCCATCGTGCCCCACGCGCTCAGCAAAGGCATCATCCTGCGGCGGATCTTCACCACGGCCTCCTACTGCATGGTTCTGCGAATGACGCTGACCCGCCAGCTGCCGGGCTCCATCCAGATGTGGTACGACACGCTGGCACTGGTGCAGAAGATCGAGGTGGGTCCAGAGAGTGGTGTGGGGCCCTGTAGGGCGCCGTCAGTCGCCGCATCAGTTTTTATACCTTTACGTCCGTGTTGAGATCCTCTGTTTTTTTCCCCCAGGAGTTCTTGATGAAGGAAGAATACAGAGTGCTGGAGTACAACCTGACCACGACTGAAGTGGAGCTGGTCAATGTGTCTGCGTCCTGGGACGAGGTTTGTTCGTGTCCTCGTGTGTCAGAACTGAAAGTGATATGTGGTGAAAATAAACTTTATCTAATGTGTAAACAACATTGATTTAGTGACGTGCAGTCAAACGATGGGGAAGTGTTGTTTTATAGGAGGGATAACTGGTTGATGATGAAATGCTTCAACACAAAATCTCCTCCATTAAAAAGCTTTTGTTTTTTTAACAGCTGACAGGATTTTTTTTTCCTGCACAACACAAGTAAATTTGGTATTTTGATTACACTGTCTAGATCAAGTAAATTTGTTTAGGCATAATGGGAATCTGTGGAAATTAAAGTAAATTACATTTATTTAACATGTAGCCAAACACAATTCTAGATTTTGAATAATATTCCTGGACAACTTTCAGGATTATCTGGATTGCGTAACATGTGACTAAAACAAACTTAAACCCACTGCTGTGTGAAATAACTGTTTGTTTTTGTGCATCTGTGGACAACAGGCAAAAGTTTTACTGGCTTTTATCTGTGACGTTCACACACCTTTCGCTCTGAAGAATTGTTGATGCTGATTAATTATTAATGTCCTCGGTTTTGTGAGATCTTTCCAGGAAATGATCCCGAAATGATAAGGTTTATGGATGCTTTTGTTGCAGATGGATGTGTACACAGTGGAGAGCCGAGCATAACAAAATAAACTTTGAACTGATGCTAATAATCAGTTGTTTCTAAACCACGAGACAGAGCAGAGGGAAGAAACAAAAACAGTCAGATCGATTAACTTTCTTATTTCTAGATGATAACAGGCTGTAGTGCATTTACTGTGTGTGTGTGTGTGTGTGTGTGTGTGTGGGTGTGTGTGTGTGTGTGTGTGGGTGTGTGTGTGTGTGTGTGTGGGTGTGTGTGTGTGTGTGTGTGGGTGTGTGTGTGTGTGTGTGTGGGTGTGTGTGTGTGTGTGTGTGGGTGTGTGTGTGTGTGTGTGTGTGTGTGTGTGTGTGTTACTGGCATGTTTAAAGAAGCTAAACCTTAAATCCACCATGCATTATAGGTATAAATGTTAAGTTCCCATCATGACTGGGAGTGGGTAGTATAATCTTATCTATAGGCAGAGGCTGTAAACTTGGTCTAACAGGTGTGATTCATTGACCACCCAATACCGTGAGAAAACCAACATCCAACTGTGTGTGTGTGTGTGTGTGTGTGTGCGCCCCCCCCTCCCATCACTTTGCATAATTAATTTCCCCTGGTGTCGTCACCAAACTTTGCTGGGAACACTGAATCTCCCTTTGAGACTCAGAGTTGTGTTCATCACCTAATTCCCAGATTCTCCTCTTGCCTTCTCCTCTTCCTGGAATGTGCCACTGGCGGATGAATGGGAGGGGTGTTGCCTTTTCTTTACTGCTGACAGCATGTACGTCAGCTCATTAGAATGAGAATCGCACGGACGAAACCTACACAAACCACAGCGAGCCCCGGCATTAGAGGAACGCTGACCCATGAAATGTCACGGGGGTCAATGATTAAGCCGTGGAGTCAAGCAGAGTTCCCCTTTTTTTTTTTCCAAGATGTGTCACCCGTTAATCTTTACACAGACGGTGACAGAGGAGGTGAAATAAGGCCATTGTGAAGGTTCTGTCTTTGCAGAATCTCCTGTTTCTCACAGAGAAGTTTGAACTGATGTCACTGTCTTGACGGACGCACTCACTCAGCTGTGACGCCGCCGTTACGTGACGTGAGATGGGGGTGGTAGAGTGTGCCAAAGCATTGCACGGCACAGCCTAGCACAGTTAAAATGATTTGTCCCAAAGACGAATTCTACGGGCTTCATCTCGAAGTTTATTCACGTAGAATTAGTCAAATCTGTTGAGCTCGAGAGTGAATGTGTGATTATGAAAGGAGCAGTTGAAGGGTACACTCTGTTTAAAAAACTTAAAAACATAAGAAATATTAACAAATGCTGATGTTAGGGAGAAACATTATGAAATGACGATTGTCACTGGAAGCATATTCTGAGCTGTTCACTTTCAAATGCAATAACCTGTCTGAGCACAGATCATCAATTTATATCAACTTCTCTAATAAACAATTGATATTTTTAATCGAAAATCTGATAAAAAAACAGAACAATGTGCCTTTAGATAGTTCAGTATAACCGCCATCTAAAAAAAAAACCTAAAAAACCTCTAACCTTTTCCTGCAGGGCATCGGTGAGCTGTTCGAGAAGATCAAGCAGGAGAACAAAGCAAACGGACACCCGAACGGCGACGCCGGCCTCTTCTTCACCAACCTCTACGTCACACCTGTCCTCAAAAACATCAGCCTGTACCTGGAGAAGGGCAAGATGCTGGCGGTGGCTGGATCCACTGGCTCAGGGAAGGTAGGAATCATCTCATCCAAAAGGGATTTTAGTTGAGGTTCAGTCTCATCGCCGCTTAATGCCTCAGAAATAAAGACCCCCCCCAATTTCCTCCAGAGTTCCCTGCTCATGATGATCCTCGGAGAGTTGGTGCCGTCAGAAGGTAAAATCAGACACAGCGGTCGCATCTCCTTCTCACCGCAGACTTCCTGGATCATGCCGGGGACGATCCGTGACAACATCCTGTTCGGCCTGACCTACGACGAGTACCGCTACACCTCCATCATCAAAGCCTGCCAGCTGGAAGAGGTGCGTTCATTTTATCGTATCGTTCGTTCTGTTTTTTTTTCTCTCCCTTCCTCTGCACATCAGTAGGTTTTCTGTGGGTTATGGGTCGGTCACGGCGGCTGTCGCTGCTCGTGCAAACTACGCAGATCCTCCTGCTGTTTATTCATAACTCCACATAATTTATAGAAGAAACGGCTTCACCACTTTAATTTACAGGTCTGCAAACGTTTCTTTTTTTCCAATCTCCTGAGAAGTTTCCTGGAACGAACCATTTTTATTTTGTGCCAATTAGAGGTGAAGCAGAGAGGGATAAGTTGGTACACTGCCAGGTTATTTCTAAATGCTAAGCTAGCACGACCTTGAGGCTTTTATTCAAAGGAGCTTAAATGTGAAATGTGTCTATAAACAAACATACAATTCAGCATAAACGACAAATACAGTTTCCAATAATAAATATTAGTAATAAATATCCACTGGAGTTTAAATGGATGCACTGTCTGGAAGTCAATAATAAACTTAGCACAATTAACATCCAATGCCTTTATCATATTTAAGCGTCTAAGCAATTTAGCCAGTACATTCAGGAAACTTCAAACACATAAATGTCAGAAAATCTTACTTTAGTTACAGATGAACTTTTCGTTTCGTAGCAGTTTTATTTTCTGCAGTAAATTCATCTTTGGCAGCTTCCTGGGTCGGCTCTGTCGGAGCCTCTGCAGAGCGTCAAGGAGGTTCAGGTTTCCACCGTCCACATTTACACCCATTATGTCTCTCACACACACACACACACACACACAAAGACACACATGTTCGCACATTCTTTCTCATATGCTGATGCGCACACACGCACTCGGCGCTCTTATGAGCCCCGGCGCTGAGTGACAGCCTCTCAGCAGAATAATGTCTCCTCTGTTGCCATGGAAATCTCACGTTATTTCACTGGGATGGAATATGAGCTTGTTGTCGTCGTCCCCCCCGCGACGGACGTTGCAACACAGACGAGCTGTATGTGTAGATGATCAGGCCTGTGATTTAATATGAAATTATATCATCGCATATGTTTTACATTGTGGATATGTAAAGGTGTTTATTATTGTGGGAAACCCCTGAGCACTTTATTAGGAACACCTAATGTCATGGATTCCACAAGATGTTGGAAACTTTCCTCGGAGATTCTGCTCCGTGTTGATTTGACCGCATCACATCACTTCTCACACAGGTGATCTGTTCTACTGGGTTCACATCTGGAGACTGGGGAGGTCACTATAGGTCACTGAACTCACCGTCGTGTTCGTGAAAACCGGCTTGACACCAGACTTTTGTTTTGTGACATGGTGCATCGTCCTGCTGGAAGTAGACATTAGGAGATGAACTGTGGCCACACGGGGACGCACATAGTCGGCGACAATACTTATAGAGGCTGTAGTATTCAAATGATTATTGATTAGTTTTGGTCGTTCACATGAAGCAGGTTGGGTCCATGGATTGGTTGGTGGTTATCTGAGTTACTATAGCCTTCCTGTCAGCTCCAACCAGTCCGACCATTCTCCTCTCACCTCTGTCATCAACGAGGAGTTTCCGTCTGAGATTTTTTTTGGGTTTCGCACCATTCTGAGTAAAAACTCTAGAAACTATTGTGCATGAAAATCTCAGGAGATCAGCAGCTGACCTCTTGTCTGCAGGATTTCATGCACCACACTGCTGCCTGAATGAAATAACTGAACGAATAAGCAGGTGTTCCTAATAAAGTGCTCAGCAAGTGTACACATAAAAATAATACTAAATAACATAAATGTTTTATGATGTAAAGAAATAGATTTTTGACCCAGTTTCAGAAATGTTGACATCTTAGACAGATTTGACCTGTAATGAAATCATTCATCTATTGTGGGAATATAAACACATTGCAGTGATGTAACACTGAGTAACGTAATAGCCAAATACACAAAAATGGTCAAAATCACATTCTTGAAACACGTGTAAAAGACAGTGACATTTTTTTTTAAATGGTTGATATTTTAAATGCACATTATTAGTATTATGTATACTGAAATCAAAGCAGCAGCTCGTGCTGTCATATTTATTTACCGCTACGTCCCATTTCCTGTGACACTGACAGTGCCTCTGTGGTTTTGACAAAAACACAACATGTTGTCACAGCAAACAAAGCTGACGGGCGATATTGACGTCTCCGTGTAAAAAACAGCCTCCATTTAGTCTTTGAGGAGAGGCGTCGATGAAACTGAAATAACAAAAGCAGCATTGTGAGCAAATGAAGTTTTCCTATGAGCTCTGTGAGTGTTGACGCCGACAAACAAGAGACGATTTCCTCCTCTGGAGTTTCTGTTCAAACGGCCTCTAAAACGACAGTGTTGAGGGCAGAGCATTGTTTGTTGTAATGTGCTGTTTTCTCACGTCTTGTTCTGTATTGGTCTGAGATCACAGCAGGTGCAGTTTAAAATCATTTCCGCGTTTAATTAGCACCATTTTGAAAACCAATTTTCCAGTGTAAATGGTTTTTATTTAAAGGCACAATATGATCAAATCCATTTAAGGTTCGTTATGAAGGGATAACTTCGTAAGATAATTACCAATAACTTTTAAAAGCACCAATCGGAAAACATGAATCCTCAGTGCTCTGTCTCGCCAGTCGCTTCAATCGCTTTTACTGTAGGAAAAAATCCCCAAGGCAACCCTGACAGACGGGAGCGACAGGTGGAGCAGATCTGTCCAGACAGAGACGAGGCGTTTAGTGACGAGGGCTTGTGACTGTAACTCCTCACTATTGTTGCCCCCCTAAAGCACCAGACAGACTGCCATGGGTGGTCTTCCCACTGTAAACTCATCTTTTGCCTCCGCCCCTGTAGCCGCTGGCACCCGGCAGGTGCTTTTTGTTCACAGCGAGACACACAACATGTCTTTTTTTTTTTCACTGTGCTGCCTTATTTTACAAGCTGTTAAACAACCTGTTAACTTGAATCCCCCTACGCCGCTCCGGTCAGGACAGCGGAAGCTGACAATTAAAAAGGTAGGAAGTTTTAACGATGATAAACTTGTGCTGTCACTTCATCCTTATTGGTGTGGGGCGTCTCTTGTCATTATCAACTGCCACCAAAAACACACTGTGTGTCTCCACTTGTGACATCCTTCATGCGCCTTTCTTTCCTCTCTGTGGTTTGTGCCTTTTGTGATCTGTGATCATCTGAACATGAACTACTCTGGTTTCCAGGTAAAAGGTCGTGTGTGTACAAACGGTGTCTTGGTGTTAAACTGAGTAGTTTTTATTTTATTTATTTATTTATTTTGGTTGAAGCACGACAAAGAAAATAACATAATGTAACGTTATTGCTATAGATTTATATTTGGGTTGCAGAGATTTGTATTTGACTTAAATATATTTGGATTTATTGAGAGGGAGAGAGAAACAGAGAGAAAAGAAAGAGAAAAAATGTACTGTGTTATACTTGGTTGGATACACAGTGCTGAGATAAATTACCATTAAAATAACAATTTTTTAGTTCTTATACAGTTACAGTTTCATTAAACTGTGAAATAACATTTATTGTGCATGTTAGCAAATAAAGAGTTAGAGCAGTAAAAATGTTATTTGTTTAAAGCGCTCGCAAGCGTCGTGACCCAGAACACATTGTAAAGAATCAGCCTGTCACTAGATCACAAAACTCCATCTATGAACTAAACATTTGCACAAACACCTCATGGAATAAAACTCCTACAAAAAAAAAAGAAAAAAGAAGATCTGCAATAGTTTTTGCTGGAGTCTCTTTTAGGTTAAAACTCAACACAAGGACACTGTGCAAGGACAACAAGCCCTCATACAGTGCAAAGGGGGAAGTTCAAATAAAATATTTCCACCATTCAAGTGGTTAAAAACTCATCACGAGCTGGAGACACAAACAAAGCTTTTGCATCCTTGCATATTGCAAACATAAGATAAAGGTTTAAAACATTATCATCAGCTGAACTTCTGCACTTAAGAGCCGTCAGCGTTACTCCTCGTGGCCCAGTGTTGATGTTGTTTTCATTCCAGAGTTATCAGCAATGAGTGGATACAGTTAAAGGTTTACAGTATGTCTTCAAACCACTGACCTAGTTTCAGTAACTGCAGCATTTAGCTCACCGGTAGCGCGCCAGGCGCCCTGGTTATTCCATATTTAACTGACGTACCGAGGCAGTGCAGCGGGCGAAGAATCCAAAAATGTAGAAAAGAAATAAATAGGAACCGAAAGAAGAAGCAGAACTGATCAGTTTTACCTCGATAGACAACCACAGTGAAGCCAGTGGAGGCTGATATGGAAGAGTTGGTTCCACCGTCTTCACTGTCGGAACAAAAAAATGCATGTATGTTTGTGTGTGTGTGTGTGTGTGTTTACCCCGCTGACCCCCTGGTTTCCCTCTCTAGGACTTCGCCTTGCTGCCCGAGAAAGACAAGACGCTCCTCATCGAGGGAGGGGTGACGCTCAGCGGGGGTCAAAGGGCTCGCCTCGGCCTGGCCAGGTACTTCCTGTCTGTCGTTGCAGATCACCTCTGCTGATTAGTTATAATTACTGCCTCTGCTTTATTTAACCGTGTTGTTTTGCAATGGACAAAAAGAGGACGTGATTCAGAGAAAGGACAAATACCGGAGTCGCTCTTGTGATCAATGCTGAGCTCTTAAAAGACAAATACAGCAACATCTCCCGTTTCTTCACCACAGTCTTGTGTTGTGTTGTGTTTCAATTGAGAAATGGGCATTTATTCCTCTTAAGAGGGAAATCAAAGGGCCAAAATATCAGGTGCTCCACGGTGCATGGATCAAAGAGGGAGCTCCTCACGGAAAATAACCGACTGAAGAATTCACCAAACAACTTTCTTTTTTCTTCTCTCTCTCTCTTAAAAACCAACACGTGTTCACTTCTCCAGCCTTTACCAATGATCAGATGTCTTCACAAATCAATAAATAGAGAATTTCAATTTCAATTTCAGGGCCATAAATGACTGTTATCAATATTATCAGTACTACCCACTTCTACAGTAAGAGGCTCCATTCGCTGAAAGCCAATAAAAACATCTATATTTACAAATATGTAGGATTTGATTTGTCTCCGGCGGAGCTTCAGTGATGGTTCCCAGCGCTGTAAAGAGCCGAGCTTCTGCTGTACATAATTATAACCTGATAACAATCACCTATCGCTCTTATCTGTGTGTCTGTCTGACTGAACTAACTGTGTTTTATTGTCTGGCTTTTTAAATGACGAGTGCTTTCTACGGCCTCAAGCGCGGCTTTATTACTCCATTAAATCTCCGCGTGGATTACAGTCAGGCCGCCTCGTATTCACGTGCATTATTTATTGCTTTAGTGTCCTCGCATCAATTTGCAGCCACTCATCGGGTTTTGGCTTCCGTCATCGCAGAGAATATTCACGGGTATTGATTTATCCGCTCAGGGATCTGACTTCCTCATTTACACTGTGCAGTTTTCCTCTCTATCTTTTTCTGTTTTTATTCTGTTTTTCTCTTACCTTAACCCCCCCCCCCAGTGTTTTCCTTTCCTCTATGTTTCTCTCTTAACTCACTGTGAATGTGTGTGTGTGTGTGTGTGTGTGTTTTCTACCCCAGAGCCGTGTATAAAGACGCCGACCTCTACCTGCTGGATGCACCTTTCACCCACCTGGACATCGTGACGGAGAAAGAGATCTTTGAGAAGTGTGTATCCCAACAGAGAGGCTTTCATGTGGAGGAGGTGGGGGGGTGGGGGGGTGTGGTTGAGCTGAAGTTTAAGTTCAAGGTCAAAGTTTCTTTTGTTGTCTCAGCCACAATCAGGTCGACTGTGGTGAGTTACGGCTGCTTCATCACACTGTAACATTCTCAGGAAATGTTGTTTTTTTTTTTGAAAAGACACAAGTATCTTTTGATGATGTTAAAGTGTTGACTTTGGCGTTCCTTCAAAGGGGAAAAGCCGCCAAAATCCCTCTGCTGAATGAGCGTTCTGGTGTGCCCGACCGCAGTTATGGTTATAAACAGACAGTAGCTTGTTAGATTTTGAATGTGGGTCATTCTTTCAAGGTCTGACACCTCGCTCTCCTTTGTTCTTGTTATATAAACAGCCACTCCTTTTTCTGATAGTCTGGCTTGGTTTACAAAAGAAAATCTCCATTTTTCTGAATCCCTACACAGGTGCGTCTGTAAACTTATGGCCTCCAAGACTCGGATTGTGGTCACCAGCAAGTTGGAGCATCTCAAGCGAGCGGACAAAATCCTCCTGCTGCACAACGGCGACTGCTACTTCTACGGCACCTTCTCAGAGCTGCAGGCCCAGCGGCCCGACTTCAGCTCCCTCCTCCTCGGCCTGGAGGCTTACGACAACATGAACGCGGAGCGACGCAGCTCCATCCTCACAGAAACTCTCCGCAGGGTCTCCATCGACGAAACCGCCGGCTTCCGAGGACCAGAGCCGATCCGACAGTCGTTCCGCCAGCAGCCGCCTCCCATAATCCACTCTGGCTCTCAAAGCCATCCCGTGGGCGATGGCTACCCAGAAAAACGCAAACAGTCCCTCATCCTCAATCCCCTGGCGGCCGCCCGCAAATTCTCCTTCATCGGGAACTCGCAACAGACAAATACGCCCCAGTCCACCACGATAGAGGACGGGGTCCGCGAACTTTCAGAGAGGAAGTTCTCTGTCGTACCTGAGGACGACCAGGTAGAGGAGGTGCTCCCCAGGAGCAACCTGTACCACCACGGGCTGCAGCATCTGAACGGGCAGAGGCGCCAGTCCGTCCTGGCGTTCATCACCAACGCTCAGGGCCACGAGCGCCGAGAGCAGATGCAGTCGTCCTTCAGGAGGAAGCTGTCCATCACGCCGCAGTGCGACCTGGTGTCCGAGCTGGACATCTACGCCCGCCGCTTATCCAAGGACAGTGTTTATGACATTAGTGAGGAGGTGGATGAAGAAGACATGGAGGTAGGTGTTTGTGAGAACCTTCTTCATCGCTCATTTAGAAGCACACGAGTAAGATCATCTTATGTTCCCGTTGAGTTTTCTGGACATTTTATCAGAGTTGATGCTGCGTGTGTCTGTGTCTGGGTTTCTCCTCAGCAATGCTTCGCAGATGAACGTCAGAACATCTTTGAAACTACCTCATGGAGCACGTACCTGCGCTACATCACCGCCAACAAGAGCTTAGTCTACGTCCTCATTTTCATCGTCTTTGTCTTCGTCATCGAGGTTAAACTGCCACCACTGTCAAGTCTTTTGTTTTCTCTTGTTTTTAAATCATGTAAAATTAATCAACAATAAATGTTTGTGTTTTTTTTTTTGCAGGTTGCTGGTTCAGTCATTGGTATTTTCCTCATTACTGAGTAAGTGTGACCAAAGGAAGCTGCTGTGCTTCCTTCAGACACACTCGCACAGAGACAAGGACATAGTTTAAATGCCTTTATTGTGTTAACGCATATCAACTAAAATATATGACAGAAAAATCCCCAAAAAAGGGAATAAAACAGGCAGTGGTTGGAAAGGAAAGTAAAACCCAGATTCCTTTTATAGACGGATCTCACCGACATTACGAGCACAGACAAGAAGATAATAGTTACCATCATGATTATGTTCAATAAAAGTTAGCAATTAAATAGTCAACCATTTTTAAAAAGGAAAAAAAAGAGGGGGTAAGCTATTTTACAAGAAAGGTGTGAAATCTGTTTCCTCACTGAGACCTGGACACAATCTCAAAAACCCTGTTAGGTGTGTTAGTGAGACTAAAACTGAAGACAGTGTTAGTGTACAACAGACTTTGTTGTTCCCGTCTGTGCTGAAACCCCCTGCCTTGTTTGCATTTGCAATATTTGCTTATATTTCCACTGCAGAAATACTAGAAATGATCATTTATTAGCTAAAGTAGTTTTTAACACACAAGATGAGGATGTTTAATGAGGATCATTTTAGTAGAATCATATTTTTATATCAATGCTTTTGTAGTAGTTCTTATAACTGACTCTTAAATGCAATTTGTGTAAGTATATGAACGTCACAGATGTGAAACATGTTAAAACAGGGTTTAAATGTTCAAGTAAATTATAAATTTGCTTTTGAATGTTGGATTTTCTGAGTTGAAGATTCCTTATTTGTGTTTTATGTGTAAAGTATCATAAACTAAAAAGATTTCTGCATGTATTTCTCAATCATTCATCCTGTGTTTTGTTAAATTCAAGATTTCTAATGGTGTAAAACCTTATTTATACTCTTATTAAGTCTCAGGGCTCCAGTGCGTTCTGTTCCCAGTCTAAAAATCCAGTCTGTGTTTCATTCCACCAGCACCATCTGGAGGGACGGCGCCAACCCTTCCTCCCCCAACTACATCAGCGAGCAGCACCCGAACGCCTCGTCGCCCCCCGTCCACCTGGCAGTCATCGTCACGCCGACCAGCGCCTACTACATCATCTACATCTACGTGGCCACGTCGGAGAGCGTGCTGGCCTTGGGCTTCTTCAGGGGTCTCCCGCTCGTGCACACGCTACTCACCGTGTCCAAACGGCTGCACGAGCAGATGCTTAGCGCCGTGCTACGAGCCCCCATGGCTGTGCTCAACACGATGAAGACGGGTGCTTTTTCTTTTTTAAGTTTCTCAGTATTTTTTTGTTTGAGGAAAATGTAAATATCATAAATGCTCGTGTTCGCCCATTTTTGTTTTTATTTGATTTTATTTTCTGTTAGAACCACAGCTGTTTAAACCACGTTCACTGTCGCAGTAACGTTGTCATTTTTTCCGCTTCAAGGTCGGATCATGAACAGATTCACCAAAGACATGGCCACCATAGATGACATGCTGCCTCTGGTGCTGTTTGACCTCATACAGGTATTTAACCAGCACCGATGGATGACGTAACATTACGTAGCATAGTATTTACCTGACCGACAACAAAAACTCGCTCTTTAAATGTGTTTTAACCTTTTTATTTTTACTTTCACACCAGCTGACGTTGATCGTTTCGGGCGCCATCTTCACGGTGTCCATCATGCGGCCGTACATCTTCATCGCTGCCATCCCATTGGCTGTCATCTTTGTCATCCTCAGGAAGTACTTCCTACGAACTGGACAGCAACTCAAACTGCTGGAGGCTGAAGGTGAGAGCCAGGAGAGTGTCTTAACTTCCAGGTGACCAGGATGTGATGTTCAGGTGCACGGATCTATTTATCTGTATGCCTGGGACATAGAGTACTGACTAGGGAGACTGATCTTCTCATATAAAAGGAAAATGTGCATTTGCAATATGTAAATCCAAACAAAATTTAGTGAAATATCTAAAACGGCTGCCAAAAACAGCTTAAAATTGTATTTTAAACATAAAATATATTCTTGAAATCCAATTTAGGTTGGGATAACAGAATATATTTCGTCTCCAAATGCGGGAATGGGGGGGGGTTGTGCAGAGGTACGGTTAATGAAAATGACAAATGTTCAGGAAGAGTTCAAGTGAAAACATGATGAAAACCGATAGAGTGAACAGAGGAAGTGCGACTGTGGGGGGCGAACGCCACAGTCATCATAACTGCCCAGCAGCAGACGGAGATGGTGGACGGCCCAGGGCCAACGGGGGGAAAGGTCACGCTGAAGAACAAAAAACATGACAAGAGGAAGGGCTGAGGGAGAGGATGGATGGACCGCCTCAGAGGGGCGGGAGCTGGTAAAGGAAGCGAGGCCGAGTGAATAGAATATCTTATCCTCCAATTAACCACGTGTTTTGTGTCCCTGTGAAAGGAATTAAGATGTTTCTAAAAAAGCTTGTTTTGGCTTGTTTTGATCTTAAAACTTTTTTTTACAGAAGTAAATCTGCCGAACAGGAAACGAAGCTGAACAGTGAAGTGATAAGATGCTCAGGTTTTATTCACTGCTGAGATCAGCGTTACTTTTAGGGGATGTAGTTAACTCTTATTAGATTCGCCTCGACCAGCTCTCTGTGTTTGTATCCTGCAGATACAGAGTCTTACAGAGCAAGTTAATTTAACAAGTCTGAAATTCTTGCCAAAGCTGGGGACATAAATTATAAAATGTTTTTTTTGTGTCCATTTGCAGAGGCGTTACACACTAAACTAAAAAAAGTTAATTGTGCTACAGGAGGTTGACATTGATTTTATTTAGGATTATTGTTACGTACTGACGGGAAGTACTGAAAAATATGATGCAATAAATACAGAGATTGTGTTAGTTCTCGTTTTCTCACGAACCGAGTGGCAACTAGACGTGAAAACGGAGAAGTTTGGGAGATATTTCTATCTCCAGCTCTGTATGATTCTGGTGCGTGAACTGAAATTGGATGAAACTGACATCCAAAACATTACATGTCAGCATCTCTTTCCAGAAACGCTGTTTCTTTTCCCCTCTGAGAACAATTGAACAGCTGTTTTTATAGGGAATAATGCAGGTGTTGTGCTGGTGGTGAAATACACTCACTGAGAAGTTGCTTTGGACAAAAACAGTGAAGTAACTTGATCTCCTTTTCAGTGTATGAAAATATTTATACATCACAAGAAGATACTTAAAAACAACAATATACTTTAGAGCATGTACATTTATTTCAGTTCAATTTAAATTCATTTCACACCAGTAAAAAAAAACAAACAAAAAAACGGGTCACTGGACTTGCTGACGAACACTTCCCTGCTCTGCTCCTCTGGTTCTGTCGTTTGAATGTGTGTTTGGGTGACGGCGGTGGCGAGGTCTTTCCGGAGCAGCTGAGAGCACGTCGGGGTCAGAGAGAAATGAGCCGAGCCGGGATTTCCTCCGTCCCCATCCTGGTGTCTCTCCCTCTGCTCGCGTCACGTGGCGGCGTGTCGGACAAAAACGCAGTGGAAGTTATGTGTGTTAGTCACTCAGGTATTTATTCGGGATGTTACTCAGAGGTCTGTGTCGATATCTGACCAGGATTCCTGTGACTCTGCGACGTTTGCAGCGTGCCCGACCTTATCGGACAGTTTGAGCTATGAACACACTGCAGTGGGACTGAGTCTGAATGCAAACCTTTAATGCTTACTTCCTCAATTCCTTTCAACCAATCGGGGGGGCAGGTCGTTCCAGAGTTGTGGCGCCCTGACAGCAAAAGCTCCGCCCCCTTTAGTCTCACATCTCGACATAAGAACAGCTTCCTGTGTTGAGGACCTCGGACTACGTGCAGGTTCACAGGGGGCAATAAAATCTCTCTCTACCCAAGGAGCTGCTCTCTGCTCATTGAGCTCCAGACAAAAACCTCCAAGTCTCTTCATTAGCAACATTTTTTCTTTTTCTTCTTCTTCTTCTTTTTTTCTTTTTTTTTTAACCAACAATCCTTTATTTTCTGTCATGCCTCATCTGCCTTCCTCCTTATAAATCCCATGATTGATTGAGTAAAATCATCCAAATTGGTTTTGTCTCATTTCCCTTCGCTTCCGTCTGACGCAGGTTGTCTGTCCCAGTAACAAGAAAACGTTCTGCTTCTCCTACTTTTTGTTCTTTTTCTTTCATCGCATACCGGACCTCTCATTACCTCTAATCTGAGCCGCTTCTGTTGCGCTTCATTTGCTTTATTGATAGGACCGACTAAACTAATATTTTGTTGAGCAACTTGCAGAATGTCAAACCCTTTTTTTTTTTTGTTTTTTGTTTTTTAAAAGACTGTATGTGCCCTCTCTCCTCCGCTCTCCTGCAGCTCGCAGCCCCATCTTCTCCCACCTCATCATCTCGATCAAGGGCTTGTGGACAATTCGGGCGTTTGGGCGTCAGACCTACTTCGAGATGCTCTTCCACAAGGCGCTGAACACTCACACGGCCACCTGGTTCCACTACCTGACGACGCTGCGCTGGTTCCTCTTCCGCTGCGACATGATCTTCGTCCTGTTTTTCAGCGCTGCCGCCTTCATCGCCGTGGGAACCAACCGTGAGTGACGGGATGGGTTTTGTGAACGTGGGTGGAAAAACTGATTTTAATGAGTTTGAGCCTAAAAGTATAAGTTAGGTTACTTCATTTGCACCTGCAGGTAAATTTGGTTTGCAGTAAAAAAAAAAAGTCTCAGTCGGCACAGACGACACCGTGTGCACAAGGTAGATAAAAATAAAGAAATAAAGAAATTACTAGAACTTATTCATACGAGGGATCGCTCTCTTCATACCGTTTTGTTCTGCACTCTGGGACGATGAACCTTTATCCAGAGGGGAGGGTTATTTGATTCAGAGAATTCCTGCTCTAAACTCAGTTAGCAAAGACAACTTTTAACTTTTAACCACTGACGACCCAAAGTCTTTAGACTTGGTTGAGAATATTGGGGACTGATGCCTGGGAGGAGCTCGGCTGGTATCTGGTTGCTCCACTTACCGGTGTCTCCTGATCACTTCCTCCTGGACGTCAGAATCTTTTCATCATTTGTTTTTGATGCAGTTGAGGTTTCGAACCAGTGTCGCGCAGCTGACACTGTGAGTAGGAACTTCTTGTAATTGCCACTGGGGCCTGTGAAGTGGAGAAGCCTCAGTGTTATCTGCGTGACGCACTGTGCAGAGTCAGATACCGGGATCATTACGGAACAGTTTGTCTGATCAAAACTGTTGGAATGCGGCCGGATAAAATGTCACGTACAAAAAAGGAAGCGTGCGTTTGTTTGATTAAATGAATGGGAAACACAAGTACACACACTTCAACACGTGTTGCTGCGTCATACCCTGTGTTTATGTGGAGCGCAGATTAAAGGGTCATTTCACAGCTCATTAGATTCTAATAGAGCCAGGAGCCGAGCTGCAACACCTGAGTGCCGCTCTGACATCAGAGAGAGCAGCTTTGATTGGACAATACCAATGGCTTAGTGTGTGTGTGTATGTGCGTGTGTGCGTGTGTGTGTGTGTGTGTGTGTGTGTGTGTGTGTGTGTGTGTGTGTGTACTCTACAGAGGACAAACCAGGAGAGGTTGGCATCATCGTGGCCCTGGCCATGCTCATCCTGGGGACTTTCCAATGGGCCGTCATCACCAGCATCACGGTAGACGGACTGGTATGTGTTTCACGCAGACGCACACACACACGGCTGTCGTCGTTTGCATCACGGTGCGGTACGACCGAACTCACATCCAAATACCGCACAGCCAGAGGCCGGTCGAGAGTGTGTGTGAAACGTTATAAACACACACACACACACACACACACACATTAGAAGTGGTTCTACCTGAACATGTATGGGTTTGTTTTTTGACACCTGCGTCTGCAGCTCTGCACATCTGGCGTTCAACCTTCCCAGATTTTCCCACACTTCCTGTTCAAGTTTGCCTGCACACACACACTCACACACACATACACACACACACACACACACCTACACTCTGGATGATTGGAGACCATAGTGCCACCAATCATCAACCGCCGCCTTTTCAGACGAGATCTCAGCACGCCTTTGTCTAGAGAGCTTGTGCTGTGGCGCTGAATACGATTTATATAGTTTATTTGGAAAGGATGCACCTGCAGTTATTGATAACATCTAGCTGGAGTTTGAAGTCCCTCTAAAGAAAAACATCTGTAGACTTTCTGCTGTTGGTCAGTGAGTCGTTCCTCTGCAACAGCTGTGATGTTAGACATTTTAAAACCTGAAAACCCAATGGACAAAAAAATGGACAAAAGTGTCAGTCGGATGATTTTTCTTCTTGTTCTGAGTAACAGAAGTCGACATGGCTTCACCTCCTCTTCCCATCATCATCATCATCATCATCATAGGCTGTTGTAGAGGGTGAAAGGAAGAGCAGGGCGAGCTGCAGGTACCTCAGAAAGTCATGAAGACCTCGTGAGGCATCTTTTCAACCTGTTTGTACCCGTCCTGTGGTTGTTTTCCCTTCATGTTGGTTAGTGAAGCCGACAGAGCTTATCACAGTGCAGGACATTTTGTTCAGCACACACACACACACACACATGGAGTGTGTATGTTTGTGTGTGTGTGTGTGTGTTTGGGGGAGTTGGCACAGCTCTTCAGTGTGACTGATATTCAAATGTGAGCTGGGAAGGAGAATCATTAAAGCAACAAGATAACATTTCCAGCGACGGTAAGAGAAGCTGATAAAATAAGTTTTCCTTTCCTAAAACTTTTATTCAGTGTTGAGCTTTATGAGAATATGTATTTCTGATATTTCAGTGGGTTTTAACTTTGTTTTTTTAGCTAAAGAAGCAAGAGATCCTTCATCCTTCTCCCCCTTTCTTCTAACTAGTTTCATGTTGTTTAGTACAAAGAGAAACGATCTTAATACTGACGGCAGCAGTAAGTGATTTAATTCTCCCGCTCCAGGAGCAGAGGTCGTCTACAGGTGTAGAAGAGTTGTGACTGGAAAGCTGCTGGTTTGTGTCCTAAAACTCCCTCCCTCCTCTCAGATGCGTTCGGTGGACCGGGTGTTCAAATTCATCGATCTGCCGCCGGAGGAGCCGCTGCCGGGGAAATCTGGCGGTAAAGGAGGCCCCGACCTCGTCATCGACAACCCCCACGCCCACGACTGCTGGCCCAACCGCGGCCAGATGAACGTCCAGGGCCTCACTGTCAAATACACCAAGGCTGGACGCGCCGTCCTCAGCGACATCTCCTTCTCTGTGGAGGGGGGGCAGAGCGTAAGTCCTGAGTGACGAGTGTGTGTGTGTGTGTGTGTGTGACTGGATCTTAATGAAATATGGCAGAGTGACGTATGTTAGTTCTGCTTTATTGGATCTTAAAACATCAGACCAGTGTTTGGCTCAGAGGGGGGGCGCCGACATTAAAGGGTCATAGAGGTCACATACGATACGAATGAACATGAGAACAACAGCAGCTCCTTACCTGCTGGATGTGTGAATAGGCAACGGCTTGTTGATAATATTTGTCTTTTTGTTTACAGCTTATTTAAAAAATCAGTTAATGCAGTTAAAGTTACAAATTAGAGGAATTTGTGCAGGTAATTAAGTTTTTTGTTTACTGTCATTTATCAACGTGCAAATGAAGAAAAATGACATTTTTCTCTTGGGCCAAACAACAGAGGCAACAACAATCAACAAATGGTAAATAAGCGAGACCCCGAGGGGAGCTGTGCTAATAAAACAAATGATTGTAATGACTAAATGAGCAAGAACGGTCTTATTATAAACAGCAGCAACAAATAGACTCACATCTGTAATATCTGGGTTTGAAATTCCTTGAGCTACAGTTTAGGGCAGTGGAGCTCAGGCAGTATTGGCCAAACAACTTGTCGGCTCTCTGCTCTCTGCTCCTGGCAGTAATTATAGTCAGTATGAGCTCTGCATTATGAATCCTGGAGGCCAGCAGAGCTCGGTAAGTGTCAGTGCTTCAGCCCCGTCCCATTAGCTGCTCTGTGGCCTCCTGATAAATGGGCTAATTGTTGCCTGGAAGCTGCAGCAGAGAGGATGGAGAGCAGCAGTGTGTACATGCAGCATATACAATACTCTGCGGGTGGAACATGTGTTAAAAGTGGTTCATTAAGTTAGAAATGAGTTGATATGTTTCAGCAGATTAAGATATCTGCGTTCTGTTGGTGTGTCTGTGCAGGTGGGTCTGCTGGGTCGGACGGGTTCAGGGAAGAGCACCCTGCTCTCCGCCCTGCTGCGCCTCGCCTCCACGGATGGAGAAATCTCCATTGACGGCGTCTCCTGGAGCTCCGTGTCCCTGCACACCTGGAGGAAGGCCTTCGGGGTGGTGCCGCAGGTACGTCCGGTGTCTGGTTCAGCATCCGAGACTACTGAAAAAAATCTAGACAGATAACGCTTTGTTTATGTTGTTACCAGAGCGGTTAAATCTGAGATCACTCATCCTAAGATTAAGGGTTCTTCAAAAACTTTTCTGTTGACTTTTCTTTTTTTCTGTGACACAGAAATGAATAATGATCATTTTGGTATATTTAAATATCTAATTGTACATATTTATTATGTATTATTTATCTTTTATTTTAAAGTATTTTAAATTGACATTTTGCAGTTTTCTTTTTATTTGTTGTTGTACTGTCCATGTTGCTGCTGTAACTCTGTGGGACTAGTAAAGGACGATTTTATCTTATTAAATTAACTAATTTAAGACAGAATTAAAAGAAATCACACAAACCCGACCAGATCAGGAAGTCCTACAATAAACCCGAATCAACCACAAATACAATTTGAAATCACCTGCACATTCTTTTATTTATTTTTTTATGTCCAAAGCAAATAAACATGAACGTCATCAGTTGGTTGTGAAGTTGTGAAACATCAAATTGCATCAAATGCCCGAAAAAATAGTTAGTTACTAATTTTAAGGCAACCTGTGTAACCCAGTCTGCTGATTCTCTCCTGATGGAACAGAGAGTCTTTATCCTGACGGGGACGTTCCGGATGAACCTGGACCCACATGGACGTTACAGCGACGAGGAGCTGTGGCGGGTGGCCGAGGAGGTGAGCCTCCGGTTTCCTCTCCAGTTCCTTCTCTTTTCATGCCGCTAGAATATCAGAGAAATAAGATGTTGAAGACGTTTTTACCACGTAGGTTATTTTTCATTGTTTGTCTAATTGATGGAAGGACCATCATCCTGCTGCTCTGCTGTTATAATAAGCATTTTATATGATGCTGTGCCACCAGCCACGTCCTGCAGGGTCAGACTCATCTTATTAAGACGAAGCAGCAGGAAGTTTAATGCCTCTTTATCGCTGGACACTGTCCTCAAGAATCTGTCCTGCGTGTCCTCAGGTGGGTCTGAAGTCCGTGATCGAGCAGTTTCCCGACAAGCTGGACTTTCAGCTGGAGGACGGCGGCAACGTGTTGAGCAACGGACACAAACAGCTGCTGTGTCTCGCCCGCTCCATCCTCAGCAAGGCCCGCATCCTGCTGCTGGACGAGCCCTCCGCCTACCTCGACCCCATGTCAGTATGGACGCCGACACACTGTGTGTGTGTGTGTGTGTGTGTGTGTGTGTGTGTGTGTGTGTGTGTGTGAGACAAGATAATGCTGCAGACAGGCTCGGATAGATGAGGCCTCTGTTTACACTCTTCTTTGTATTTCATGTCACCTGCAGCGTCAGGTAGATGTAGGTGTTTGTATTGGAGCGATGAGCTACAACACATTTCCTCGCCACCATGACGGCTTGTCTGTTTCTCCCTGTGGGATTTTTTTGTGTGAGACACCAGAAGCTTTAATAAATAGTGTTTGTAAGCGAGGAGCTTCCTACTGCACGGTGTGGGGGGGGGGGCGTGCGGTGAAGTGAGATCACTGTGCAGCATCAGTCACCCAAATCCAGCATGTGTAGTGTTCCTGTCACTGCATATGGTGACAATCTAGAGTGCTTACAGTAACTCTGAACTGCTGTATATTGTGTGTGTGTGTGTGTGTGTGTGTGTAGCCATATGTGAAAGGGGGGGGGGTCATGATGGTAAATGAAGCCTATAATGAGCAATCCAGTTTAACCTGAGGGCAGCGCTGCCTCCTCTTTCATGTCAGCTTTAACAGGAGCAGAACGCTAAGCTAATGTGATAGCAGTGGAGAGAGACGGCCTTTGATGATGATGATGATGATGATGATGATGATGAAGATGGTTGTGTGTGTGTGTTTGAGCAGAACGTTACAGGTCCTGAGGAAGACTCTGAAGCAGGCGTTCTCCGGCTGCACCGTCATCCTGTCAGAACACAGAGTGGAGCCGCTGCTCGAGTGTCAGTCCTTCCTGGTGAGTCCTGGATTCATTTGTGGTGATTTTCAGTCTCTATTAAAGTCGGGACAGTTATTTTATTATCAACAGTTTAACGCCCGGGGGTGACAGAGCTGATGAAAATGCTTTGCCCTGATCGACTCTTAAGAAATCCTCCTCCACTCCCTTATTGTGGGTGTGGGCAGGAGGATGTGTGCACACGTGTGCTGAGGTGTTTGTTTGGATGTTAGTAATGCACATAGTGTGACAATAACATGAGGGAAGTGACCTCAGTGTTACTACTGACTTGCAAGTCACTGTGACCAGAGAGCGAGAGAGAGAGAGAGAGAGAGATTTTAAGCTGGTTATTCCTGTAGCACACACACATCAGCTGAGTGTGAGTGCGGTTGGTTGGTGGTTGTAGCCTGAACCCGATGTAGCAAAACCTCGTAGCCACGTTCTCGTCCCTCCTGTCCGCGCAGATGATCGAGGGCAGCTCCATGAAAAGCTACGACACCATCCAGAAGCTCATGAACGAGACCAGCCACCTGAAGCAGGCCATGAGCGCCGCAGACAGGCTCCGCCTCTTCCCCACACTCCACCGCCTCAACTCCAGCAAGAGGGCGGCGCCGCAGACCGCCAAGATCTCGTCCCTGCCGGAGGAAGCTGAGGACGATGTCCACGACACTCGACTCTAACCGGCCAGACACACAAACACAAACACACACACACGTGCACGAACACGAGATGATGATGATGATGATAGTAAACATTTCTGAGCCACGATGAGACATTGAAACTTCTAACACCTGTGTCACACCAAATCCTAATGAAGTTAAATTAAAAATGAAATGTGTAGAAAAACAGGAAGTCAGGTTTCCATCATATCGACAGTCGACATTTCGTTAATCAAAACCTGTAATTAGGACTAATACATGCAACTCTTTGCATATACAGACGATGTAACGTGCAAAATAGAAACTTCTCTAACATACAGCTGTCACAGAAGGAGGTTCATTTATTTACAGAGGAAGTTTTGCACACACGTAATAAAAGAATTACGTCTGTAATGGTTTGAATGTTTGAATGCTAAAATCAGGTGTGTGAGATTACAGAGATGAAACTTTAGATTACAAGCACAGTACAACAAAGCTACAAGTCAAGGGATTGAATTGAACGTTAAAAATCAGGCGGTGTGACAGCTGCAGAAAGTGCAGAAATCTGTCGGCTCCCCATCCGAAGCTGTTGGTGTAAATCTGTCACCAAATAAGAAAAACTAATAGTAAAACCAGCAGGTGTTTGTGCTGCAGGGAGAGTTTTTATTTCCTGATGCGTGGAAGATAAAATCCTCCACGTGAATGGGGACCAAAATGGCGGAAAAGTTTCGTGCCACCGACATAAAAATGAAGCACGTACCAACACACCTTAAACATGAGGCCTCAGCCCGACCGACTGGACACTTTGTCGTTGAACTACTTCAAGTACCTTTGTAGGTTTCGGCGCCTTTTGGTGCTGGACCAGCTGTTGCGAGCGCTCAAACATCATCTTCTCTCCTGAGGCCACTTGCTTTCAAAAAGTATGAATTGCATCAATTGCTTTGTTTTTTGTTTTTTTTTGCATAAATGTTTAAAAAACATTTTTTTATAAAATATGGATTTGATAAATGATTAATGAGAACTGGATCAGAAAAATATGAAAATGGGCAAAAAATATTTAAAATTAGCTAAACTCAAATATCCGATAAGATATGAAGCGAGCGGAGACGTGTCGGATCACGAGACTTCTCCAGTATCTTTGACTCTGCTGCAGCTTCACCGCTGTCAACACACAGTGACGCTGTTGGCTGAAGCTCCTGACGAGTGGTGACTCAGAAACCCTTATTTTTCTATCTGTATGCACTTTAGAGAAACCCCGAGGTACTCAGCGGTCCAACGACTGAACGTTGTACAACAGTTTGTTTTTGTTTTGTTTTTGTTTTGTTTCCTCCATGAAGTGAAGCGTAGATGTAGAATTTACTTTGATGACAAATGATTCTTTTTACTTTCATTCTTCCGTCTCTGTTACTTGATGAATTACAGAGAGAAGAAGAAGAAAACAAAACAATTTTCTATTTGAAGTAAAGTTATATTTTTTCAGAGCCACTGCTGTACAAACATTTAGCAATTCTTCTTCTTTTTGTCTCATCTGTTGCTTCCCTCTGAAACTGGAAACCTGTAACATCGTTATATTTTCTTCTTTGGTTGGAGGGAAGAGTGTCGCTCCCTTCATACTGAATAATAGTTTTGTATAGCAGTGATGCAGAAGATTAAGGTACCGTGGAGAAATGCCTTGATGTGATAACTGTGACGACAGATTTTTTTTCTTCTTTTTTTTTTTTTTTACAGTGTAAATTAAGAACGATGCTGTTTCTTACACATAGGAAAAGGACGCAGATGTCCTGAAAAAATGTATAAATGTATTTGTTCAATCAACTATATTTCCAGTAAAAGATTTTGAGAATTTTACTGTGGGTATGTCTTTATTTGTTAAAAGCCGGTGAGCATCAACCACGTTACAGGAAAGTCTGTTTTATGTTTTGGTTGTTGTTCACGAGGCGTTTGTGACCCACTGATTCCACCTTTTGTTTCATCATACACGACATGGAGAGAAGATTTCCTCCCTGAGGTCCAACACTTGTTACTGGGTGATGAGACCTGGCTCTCAGTTGATCTTCTCGGTTCTTCCCCGGAGGTGTTGGAGGTGATCGGAGTCAGGGTGGAAAGGCCTTGTTCTGTTGTCACAAAGTTTTCATTTGCCCTTAATAACTGCAGCCCAACCCAAACCATGAACAACACATCCAGACCGAAGTGTGTGCACAAGAGAGTCTGCATACATTTGGACATGGGCGTCCACAAATGTTTTGGTAGCAGGAAATGTCTGATTGATTTTTGACATCGGGTTCTGATGTCACAATTGAAGCGTGGTGGTGACACGGCGAGAAATTCATCATAGGAGGCAGAGAGCAGACCATCTGTAATTTATTTTCATTTTCCACCTGTGAGTAGCTCCTTGATTTCCTTTGTGCATTGCATTGTGGAACAGTAGTGTAGTATACTATATATGTTATATATAG